CTGCTGCTCGGACAGGAGTTGTCGGACAAAGAGGGGGAACTGGACCAGCGAGCAGAGAATATTCTGGTACGAGTCTGTGGCGTAGCGGTCGACGAAGATGCGCTGTCTCAGGGTTGGTATTGTTGTAGAATTATTGTCCAACCCGAAGAGGCCATGCTCGATAGCCACATTCTTGTTCATGTCCGTTCAGCAGAGACTCGATCAATTGGTGCTCTTCACATAGGAGGTGCTTACCAAGTAGCCATCTCCCTCGGTGATGGGTGTCTTGTCAGGCTTGGTGGCCGCACCACTAAACACCAGGATGGCATTCTCCCAGTCTTTCGCCAGCTCCTTCACCCCGGCCTCGACGTGTTTGATGTACGTGCCTGTTTCGCCACTCTGAAAAGGTTCAATGAGCCAGTTGGATTCGTCCTCGCTGGCCGAGTCAGGGCCGGGGCCCAGGTAGATGGCGTGGCAGCAGACGACGATGAGGTGGGTAGGAACAAGAGACATTGTCTCGTAGACACCACAGTCTTTACCACGTTGTATCCTTACACCATACAAATAACTGATCTCTCTGTCTCACACACATGCTGGCAACATTCCCCTTTAAAACTAGACAACAAGACAACATGAGATCCACCGTCGATCCCGAAACTCTGAATTCCGTTCCTGGCTTGACTTGCTTGACCAACTTGGTTTAGTGTCGAAAACTCATGTTCCCCATTCCACCTCATCACGATTCAAAGAGTGGACAGACAAGAGCACCTTGACGACCTTGGAGCCCTTCAAGTCATATAACTACATACATACCTATAGCAGGTGTACACACCATCGTTGTTTCGTCGTCCCGTCATCTGTTGGAGCCGACAGTCCGAACACCCACCGAAGTCTATATAATCCACTGAATTAGCCATCAGGACGAGCCTCTTTTTCTCCCACAACTCTCACTATCTCACAAACCAACCAAGTCCTCATAACAACTTGTACAAGATGAGACTCCGAGAAGTCCAGCGTCTAGAACTGCCACCCACGGCAGACATGCACGTCCATCTCCGGCAGGGCAGAGTAAATGACCACCACCTCTTGATACTTGGGAGGAATTTGCAAAACTGAAAAAGTCCTTTTTTGCTACCAGGTCATGGAATTGGTGGCTCGGCAGGTTTTGAGCGGAGGCGTCGACACCGTCTTTGTCATGGTGTGTACGCAGTGCCTATCCTTCCAAGATAGATCACTAACTGTTCCACCATCAGCCCAATCTCCAACCACCCATCACGAGCGTCGCCCAAGCTCTGGAATATCAATCTGCTCTCCAGTCCATTGAACCTCGAGTCCAGTATCTTATGTCGCTCTACGTGAGTGATCGACCTATGCTTGCTTTGCTCCAATGCCAAAAAGTAAATCTTCCACACGGCCTTCTAACATGGGCGAAAACATCCAGCTCCATCCCTCCATCACCCCGGAAGTGATCGCCGAGGCCGCAGCAGCGGGCATTACTGGAGTCAAGATGTATCCTCAAGGTAAGGAAAGCCAATCAGACCACATCTGCCGTCGACGAGGTCTACTGTTTTATCTCCCCCCTCTTTCCTCTGCGGTACTAACCCAATCCTTTACCCTGTTTCAAAAACCAGGCGTCACCACAAACTCCGAGTCCGGCGTGCCCGCGGATTTTCTCAGCGCCTATTCCCCCGTCTTCGCCGCCATGCAGGAACACGACCTCGTGCTCAACCTGCACGGCGAGTGGCCGGGCCCTCTCCCCAACGACGACATCACCCTCGAAGAAGCCTTCCTGCCGGAACTGAAGAAGCTTCACGAGAGGTTCCCACGGCTCCGATGTGTCCTCGAGGTGAGTGTCTCGATCGTCTTCGCTCAGAAAAGCCCATGTCATGGAGAAGCTATGTTACGTATTGACGACCATTGTGTTTGTAGCACTGTTCCACCGCCGCGGCGCTGGACGCCGTACGGGTTTGCGGCCCGTCAGTCGTGGGTACGATCACGGCACACCACCTCTACCTGACCGGCGATGATAGCAACGTGGATCCCCTGGCGTTCTGTAAGCCGATCCCGAAAAAGGCGTCGGATCGGGACGCCCTGATCCAGGCGGCGTGCAGCGGCGACCCCAAGTTTTTCTTGTAAGAATCCCGCCTCCCAATGTCACTGTTGTCGAATGCTATATATTGATATCCCACACACACACACACACACACACACACACACACATTTGCTGCTATCTATTCCCCCAACCTGCACCTCCATCTCCATCTCCTCAATCTGACCCCTTTTTCTTGTCGATGTAGTGGCAGCGACTCCGCCCCCCACGCACTCTCCTCCAAAACGCAAGCGAAGCCCGTCCCCGCCGGCGTCTTCACCCAACCCTTCGCCACACAACTCGTCCTCCTCGCCTTCGAGGAGGCCATCGCCCGCGGCGTCCTGTCCGACGACCAAGTCACGCAGGACAACCTCGAGGGGTTCCTCAGTCGCTCGGCCCGGCGGTTTTACAAGTTGCCCGATCCGACGCGGGCGATTGTGCTGGAGAGGAAAGGCGAGAGGGTCCCGACGAGTATCAAGACCGAGGAAGGAGATGTCGAGATCGGTCTGTCAAAGGCGGGCGCGGAGGTTTTGAGTCTCTCCTGGAAATGAGGCCCGAATCGGGACTGGGATCTGGAATTGGAATTGGGAAGGTGGGAATGAATTGGAAGATGGGGAGATCTTAAGATCTAAGATGAAAGATGTAGGCGCGGGCCAGCGAGACCCGATTGACCGAGTTATCGCCTACCTGCCTGCCTGCCTGCCTGCCAGCCAGCCATGTTGAACTATTGTTTGTTGCTGTTAGGGTGAGGGCTAGGGCTAGAAGGTGAGAACGGCAAAGGAAGAGGAAGACAAGATGATAGATGACAGACTGAAAAAAGGGGAAGAGAAAATCAATGGCCAGTGACCAATCCCAATCCCAATCCCAATCAATGTAGTCGGTCAGTCAGTCAGTTCAAGTTCATCTTGGTAAAAATACATACATCTATTGACATGTTTTCCTCCTCGTTACTCCTTCTCCTTCGTCGTCTTCTGATCCTGATTCTGATTGGACGCTGTAAATCCATCAATTCACACGGCACACAACATATTTTGTCTGGGTATATATATATATATATATATATACAACAGGTATGTGAGATCCTATTCCCCTGCGCACGCGCCGATTTCGCAATCCATGTCTCACCGCGCAGTAACCGTCATGGTCATGGTCACCGTCTCCGTCACCGTCGCCTGCGCCTGCGCCGGCGTCGCGTCGGGCGTCACTGGAATCACGGCCAATCCGTCCGTTGTCGAAGTCGTGGTTGCTGCAGCGGGTGTTGCTGATGGTGCTGTTGCTGAAGACGCAGTCACCGCGCCCGTGTCCACGCTCGACGTGGGTGTGGCTTCAGAAGCTGGTGCTGGCAAAGACGATGACGGCAGTGTAGCTGTGTCGGTGGCGGGTTGAACGGCACCCAGGGAACTGGGAGATATGGAGCTTGCTGGCGCCGGCTCTTGAGCAGCGGCGGTGCTTGCGGCATTGCCGTTCGCGTCCGGCGTAAGCGTCGTGTACCCAGCAGTAGGACCCGTAAAGGTTGGACTAGCAGTGACAAACACGGTCGTCACAGACCCCGCAGGCTGTTGTTCTCCTTGGTCTCCAGCCCCTGCATCCGACGACGGAGATGCTTCTGCCACGGCATCTGACGAGGTGGTTGAAGCGGCCGCAGTGACTTGGGCTGTCACAAGAACGGTCTCCACGATGGTCGTTTGGGCTTGTACCGTGACCGTCGAGGTCGGTGCTTCCTGTCCCGAGGTCTGCGCCGCGGTCTGCGCCGCATTGGGTTGAATGGCTGTTCCGGACCCAACCGCCTCAGGTCCACTCGGCGTAGAGCCCTCTGTGGCAGCCGTCTGTTCAGCGGCAGAGCTCTCGGCTGCAGCAGTTACCGTCTCGCTCGGCGCCACTGCCTGAGTAGCCAATGCGATTGTGGTTTGCGTCAACAAGCTGATCAGACTCGTGTTGTCGCCTCCCACCCCAACAGCAGGGACCGCCCCGTTTTCCTTTCCACTCCCTGTCGGGGCAGCAAATGGGTTGATACTCGGCGTGGTTTGCGATGCAGCCTGTTGATTCACGGGATCTGTGGGAGCTTGCCGTCTCTTCAAGGATTCACGAGTCACCGAGAGCTTGTTCACCACATAGCGTTTCTGTGGCTGGCCCACATGACGTATTACATTATCAGGCCTGCGACGAAATCAACATCTGTTCAACGTAACACTGGCAAAAACATACCTGTGAATGGGACCTGCTGAGATGAGTGTCAACAGAAACAGGAGGCCAACTATGGAAACGAAGGCATGCATGACTGTCCAGCAGTATCTGAGGTCAAGGTGAATGCAGTAGTGTAACCGTGGCGGATGGAAGATACTCAACTAAACTGTCGAAGGACGCCTGCGTGTAAACCGAAAGGTAGAAGTGAACAAAACTCCTTAGCTATGCAAACAGATTCAAATGTATGAGAGAAGAGTTTCCAGCGCACATCTTGCTCCAGATACTGCTGTGGACCTTTTTGAAGTATCGTGAGGCGGCGCGTACCAGATTGACGACACCATCGTGGTGGTATTTCTGGCAGTTCTAATCTGATTCTATGTCTGTTGATTGAAACATGTTTCCTCTATGCCGTGAAACAAACGTAATAGCTGCAAGTCGTCTATGCAGAAGAGCATCTTTGTTTCCGAGAAAGAGCAGAGACAGGAATGGTTGGTGGTCAGGAGGCCAAGGCAGATCAAAGCAGATGCTGCCTGGGGCGGAAATGTTGCCAAGACCAGCCCGAGACAGGCGAATGATTGGCTGGGATGATTCCCCAAAAGGGCGCCAGCCTTGCGGCCTCAACGGCTTCATGCAGAGCCGCCAGCTCCACCTCCACCGCCCTGTTTCATCTTGCTGCTTTCTGGCCCTGTCTCTTTGAGAACTACTTTCTCCAAAGAAACATTGCTGGTCAGCTGGTCGACGTAGGGCGCTAATGCAAGGCTCGCTTCTCGCTGATTTCCTCAAATGACTGGATCTGATCGCCCACTTCGAACGCTTCCCAGTTCTCGAAACCCATGCCGCATTCAGAGCCTTTCCGCATCTCGGTGACATCCTTCTTGATGTTTTTGAAAGAATTGAGCGTGCCTAGTGCTTCGTTAGTGGACCCCACAACCAAGTACTCATGAAACCACTTACCAGTGTAAATCACCTCGCCTTTCCTCAAGACTCGGATCTTCTCCGAGCGGCGAATCGTACCGTTGGTCACCCGGCACCCAGCAATCTTTATTGACCCTTTCTTGATTTTGATGTCAAAGATATCTCCAACCTCGGCTTCTCCCAACACGCGCTGGGTCACAATTGGAGGTAATTCTGCGCTGACCTTCTCCGTGACTTCGTCGGTAACCTTGTAGATGATGTTGTGGTCAAGGATCTGGATCCTAGCAGCCGCTGCAAGTTGACGGATGTCATTATCGATGGGTTGATTGAATGAGATGGCATAAGCAACTTCGCCCGTTGCAGCCAGCTTTTTGATGTCCGATTCGGTCAGGCCACCCGTCCCACTGTGGACGATGTTTGCGCGAATTTCGTTGTTGCCAATGGCACTCACAGCAGCGACCAAGGCCTCTGTGCTGCCAGCCACATCAGCCTTGACGACAAAATGAACAAGTTGAGGCCCTGAAGACTCTTTCTCGATCCAGCCTTCATTGTCCTTGGGACGCCGTTTGTACCCCATGGAGAGATAACCTTGGTCTTTCTCCCACTCAAGGACTTTGCTTCGAGCTGCCGCTTCCTCTGCGCGTGTTGCGTTGATCGCCGTCATATTGTCCATCTCCCAGGCTGCTTCCGCGCGCTCTTTTCTTACCGACACCGCTTCTTTTGCTCTCTGCTCGGTATCTGCCTGCAACACCTCTAGGCCTGCCTCGGGATCATCTCCTCGCCAGCCATCTATTTGGACAGGGGTGCCCGGAGGTGCAGCATCAATTAATTCTCCTGAATCGTTTCGCAGAGTTCGGATACGAGCCCAGGTAGTGCCGGCAACAATAAAGTCGCCTGGTCTCAAAGTCCCACGACGAACGAGAATGGTGGCGACACGACCGGTGGCACCAACTTTGCTTTCAATAATCCATCCTTCCGCTGGTCCGTCGTTTTCGGCACGGTAGTCGGCAACGTCAGCAAGAGTGAGAATAGCTTCTTCCAAATCTTCCATGCCTTTACCGGTCTTGCCGCTCACAGGTATGGCTTGATAGTCTCCTCCAAAGTCTTCCACGACGATCTCGTGTTGCATCAGATCTCGCTTGACTTGTTCAACGTCGGCTTCAGGTTTGTCAACCTTGTTGATTGCCACGATAATTTGCACACCGGCCTCCCGGGCGTGTTTGATGGCTTCTACCGTCTGAGCCTTGACACTGTCGTCTGCTGCAACAACCAAGACTACAATGTCGGTCACAACAGCACCTCTTCTGCGCATCTCCAAAAATGCAGCATGCCCCGGAGTATCCAGAAACGTGATGTTACGTTCTGATCCAGGCATCGTGACGGAGAAAGCCCCAATATGTTGGGTGATGCCCCCATGCTCTGTTGCAACCACGTTCGCCTTCCTGAAGTAATCAAGGATGGTGGTTTTCCCATGGTCGACGTGACCCATGATTGTCACAATGGGTGGTCGAGGCGGCAACGTCGAAGGATCTTCTGCTGTAGGACGCGGGAAGATATCCCCAGTCTCATCAATGGTTTTGACGACAGCTTCAAACCCATAGATTTCGGCAAACATGGCAGACGTGCTCGAATCCAGAACATGGTCGTACCTTGCACCCTCAAATCCCTCCTCTTCAAGCTTGTCGACGAAGTCTGGTAGTCTCACTTTAAGGGCTTGCGCTAGCTTTTCCACACTGATGAACTCTGGAAGAAGTATTTCTGGGCGTGCTGGGGTTTGTTGTTTCGCGTTGGCTTGTTTCCCCTTCTTTTTCCGTCTTGACTTTGCTTCGTCGGGAAATTCATCCGCCAGATCGGGGTCAAAGTGAAAGTCCAATGAACCTGCCCTAGAGACACCACTTCTCCTAGCGGTGGGAAGCTTAGCTCTTCGAGACACCTGTAGAGGCTCCTCGTCCTCGATTTCGTAAAGCCGAGCTCTTCTGTCAAGATCTTTGCCACCTACGGGTTTTCGCTTGCGCCTGTCGCCTTCAGCATCCTCTCCAAGCTCGGTCTCCACTAGCACAGCCGATTCTTCTTCGGGAGAAGCTTGCCCCTCCGATGCTTCGGACGTTCTCTTCACAGGTCGGTCCCGGCTGGTTCTTCCATCGAATGCTCTCTGCCGACCACCCACTGAATCAGGTCGCCAGGCTGAAGCATTGTCTCGAGCACCCCTCATACTCAGCTCTTTGTCTGCTCCAGATCCATGCGGGAAACGCCTTGGGAAATCCTGTCCACTAGGTTTCGAGACTCGCCTCTCTCGACCGCTTCCTCTGGGGCCAAGAGAGTCCCTCGGTGAAGATCGGAAGAGAGGAGCGCTGGATTTCTCTTTGGTAGATCCAACTCCTTCCCCAAAAGGCGCCGACCAACGTGATTCTCCAGCAGTCCTACTCTCGGATCCCCGATATTTTAGAGCATTGCCTATCCTTGATGGTGGAGAGGAAGTCCCGAGCTCTTTCCTAAACCCATTCGTATTATTGTCGCTCCCTCTTCGGTCTGCAGATGGCTTCCGGATATGCGAGTATCTGAAAAGTGGGCGCTCAGTTTCGGGAGAGGCCTCGCTCGAGAGTTCATTACCCCTACCATTTCTCGTATCGAATCTATTGCCATTATTGTCTCGGCGAGCACTGCCCATTGGAGACCACTGCTCCCGGCGCTGAGATTGTGTAGGTCGAGATCGTGGATCAGGCGGAGGTTCATTGCGCGATCTCTGTTGGAAGTCCGATTGAGTGCGGGACAGTATCTCCGATATTGAGCTTTCACCGGCAGGGCTGTGACCGTTTCGGGGTCGACCGTTTGACGGAGGAAGAGATTGGAGAGGTAAAGGAGGAAAGAGTGATGAATTGTGGTCCGAATAGACCATTTCAGGTCTTTGTGGGCGAGAACTCAAGCATATCGTACACTCTGATCTCGCAGGCTTGTTGATGTGATTGCAACGGCATTTCCAGCCGAGAAGCTCTCGTGTTGGCGCCGCCGGGGGAGCGAAATCATCATCCTCCTCCTCTATTCGGGCGACTGCTGCTCCAGCTGGACGTTTTGATACACTGGCAGCTCTATAAAGTCGACGCTGCGGTTGGAGGGAGCTAGCATGGCGAGACTCGGCGGCGTATCGGAAAGCGCAGAAAAAGCAGATGTCTTGCCCTTGTAACAGCTATGTAGACCGGTCAGTGTCTATCTCGTAGAACATATAATGGAACACGACTGTATGAACATACCTTTCGCGTCACTGCCCTACGCATGCTGGTCTGTTGTTGCCTCACCCAAGTCGGATGGTTTTGTTCCGTTACTGGTTTCAATAGGAGACACGCCACATCGACTTCGTATCTACAACTTTTTTTTGGGGAAGACCCCATTTGGGTGAATCAAAAGAAACTCAGCGCAGATACCTACTTCGGAGTCTACCGACCGCCAAGCGCAATTCTACCCGATGCCAGGAAGTCTGCTGTCCAACACAGTACTTCATTTTTACTAAATTAATCTACCCTCCCTAGCGAACACAAATGCTGTAGATACCATACTGAGCCATAAACACTTTGTCGGACAGTACAGCGAGCATCGAGGCCCTACGAGCACATCCTCGTCCAGCTAAAAGAGCCAATCACGAACCAGCGGTCAAACCCGCGACAGCGACGGAGTACCGCCCGTGAGAAGCTAACGAATGACGTGCCGCGAAGGAAAAAGAATCTAATACTGAAATAGTCTGCTTCTGCAAAACACAATTCTGTCTCGTCGACAATGAGGTGAGCCTTAGCTGGGGAGATCGATCGAGCAGCAGCATTAGAAGATGGCGGATGGTGCCGAAGCAATTGAGGCCCACGAGGTTGGAAATACCAGTTGGGCGAGAACTGCCAAAGATTTATTTGCGGGCGCTGCTGGGGGTGTCGCTCAGGTTCTACTAGGTGAGTTTCGACGGCATGAGTTTACGGTGAACTTGATAGCGACGCTTCCTGGGATGGATTTCCTCGCCACTTCCATGGAAGGGTGGTTTTGTTTATCGTCGTGAAGCAGTTTTGGTCGTGTTGGTTCGTACTTGTTCACACACTAACACTCTCTACCAGGTCAACCATTCGGTAAGCCCTGATCGACTTGCTTCCTGCCCAGCAATTTCTCACGACTAATCTCTTAGACATTGTCAAGGTTCGCCTTCAGACGACAACCACCTATCCCAGCGCGATTTCATGTGCATCATCAATTCTCCAAAATGAAGGACCACTGGCGTTTTACAAAGGCACTCTCACCCCGTTGATTGGCATTGGGGCGTGTGTTTCGGTTCAATTCGGCGCCTTCCACTATGCTCGACGGGCGTTTGAGGAGCAAAACCTGCGCGCGAACCATCCAGCAGGTCTCTCTTACGGCCAATACTATCTGGCTGGAGCTTTCGCAGGGTTAACAAACTCTGTTCTGTCTGGCCCTATCGAGCATGTGCGTATCCGTCTACAGACTCAGCCGCATGGCGCTGCTCGCCTTTACAGCGGTCCTCTCGATTGTATCAAAAAGCTATCGGCGCACGAAGGCGTCCTCCGAGGTCTCTACCGTGGCCAAGCGGTCACACTCTACCGAGAAGCACAAGCCTACGGTGTCTGGTTCCTGACCTTCGAATACTTGATGGCTCTAGAGCAAAAACGCAACAACGTTCGCCGCGAAGATATCTCGTCTCCCAAAGTAGCCTTCTATGGAGGCCTTGCAGGTGAAGCACTCTGGATCGCTAGTTACCCTTTTGATGTGATCAAGAGTAAGATGCAGAGCGACGGCTTCGGGAAGGAACAGAAATATAAGACCATGAGGGATTGCTTTGCACAAACGTGGAAGGCTGACGGGATGAGAGGATTCTGGAAGGGCATTGGGCCTACATTGGTGAGGGCGATGCCTGTCAGTGCAGGTACTTTTGCAGTGTAAGTTTCCCTTTCCCTTTTGGTAGCGCATTTATCGTGGCTAACAGTCAGCTTTCAGGGTCGAGTTGACGATGCGCGCATTGGGATGATGGATGCAATCAGGCGCATGGCGTGGAGGAGATGGGACGCAGGAATAGAAATACTCAAGCACGTCCAGTTTGAGGTCTTTGAGCTTGCACAAAGTTGTTCAAACCAGTTGATCTAAGCTGATAGTGCACTCCTGCGCTTGAAAAACAACCTCTGTTAGATAAATGCAATTTATGGTGATTTTCGCTGCAAAGCCACTCTCTGCTTCATGCTGATTCACAGCTTATGTACAATTTGAGAATGTGTGCGAACGCGGTCTTTCCAAGACCATTTTATCTGTAAGGAGCATCCGCTCTGGCCACAGCCGCCAATTCAGGCTCCCATTTGTCACCGTTTGCAAGCAACTTTTCCTTGTTGTACAAGAGCTCCTCTCGGTATTCTGTTGCATATTCGGCATTGGGTGTCTCCACAATAGCATCAACAGGGCAGCTCTCCTGGCACAGACCACAGTAGATGCACTTTGTCATGTCAATATCATAACGGGTGGTCCTTCTCGAGCCATCTTCTCTTTCTTCGGCTTCGATTGTGATGGCTAGGGCAGGGCAAATGGCTTCGCAGAGCTTGCAGGCGATACATCTCTCTTCGCCAGAAGGATAGCGCCTCAATGCGTGTTCGCCTCGGAATCGTGGTGAGATGGGGCCCTTTTCGAACGGATAGTAAATTGTGTAGCTGCAGCCACAATATCAGTATGATTTTCTCCAGGATTAAAATCGTCGTTAATTGATTGATTGACATACGGTGGTCTGAAGAATTGTTCCAACAACACATACATTCCCCTCAGCATCTCGGTGAGAAGAAAGTAGTTGCTAGCTTTATCCATCACTCCCTCACCCTCGTCGAATCTTTTGGGTCTCGGCAGTCTGTAGCCCTGCGGTGGAGGACCGGAAGGTAGGGCATTTCTAGGTCTTGAAGAATGAAATTGAGCTGTGGCAGTGGCTCGGAGGAAAGGTGACCGTTCGGCGTGTCGTAGGATGGCTGATGAAGCTGAGAATGGCCTCGCGACGAGCCGCGATGCTGGACGAAGTGACGACGCCATCGTCCGTGCAAGTTGCAGACTGAGAATTGGCGATGCGTGGCGAGCGCAACAGAGAAGACGTTGTGCAGGATGGAATTGAGATGCAGAGGTCATTGATGCTGTAATAGGATTGACTGCAATGTGATTGGTTGGCTCCACGTGACCCCAACAAGCTCTTCCCTTCCCGAAGCTGCTGCAATTGTCTGCATGTCCATCCAGAAATTCAATCACTACCTACAACCAGCGAAAGGCTTCTTCCCGCCTCACCAGCATTCCCATTCTTCTTTACCTCCATCCGTTCCCCTCAGACCAAAGGGCAAGATGATTCGGGCAGGCGCTGCACGAGCGCTTTATGCGGCCACAAGGACCCAGGTCCCCCGACAATTACCTGCTTTCCGATCTCGAATCTCTACCTCCCTGCTGCAAACATCACGAGTTACTCCCTCCTTCGTTGTTCCAAGCATACGGTACTACTCGGCGCCTGCTGGCTTGTCGAAAGAGGAGGTGCAGGGGAGAATAATGGATCTTCTGAAGAACTTTGACAAGGTGCGCACCTGTCTCGTGTGATGGTCTTGCAACTGCTAACTTCCCCAGGTCACTGATGCATCAAAGGTAGCACGGTCTTGTGGCGTGAGTTTTAGGCATTGCTGACGACCTATTCTAGATCAGTGGCACGGCACACTTTCAGAATGACCTTGGACTCGACAGCTTGGATACCGTCGAGGTCGTGATGGCCATTGAAGAAGAGTTCAGCATCGAGATTCCGGACAAGGAGGCTGATGCCATTCACAGCGGTATGTTCCGTCGATCACTCCAAAAGATCACTCGCTAATAACCATCAAGTCGACCAAGCTGTCACGTACATTACCGCCCAACCTGATGCACACTGATGTGTGTTTGCTGGGCGCTGGGGGTTGTTGGTTGTAGACGCGGGTTCAAGAATCACAAAAATATCAAAGCACTGTACATTTTCCAGTGGTGAGGAAATGGATTGCCCTTGTACTATCATCACACAAGACTAGATCTACCGGATCTCCACGATGGTCTCTGAACAAAACCACCCATATCTCTTCTTTTGATCTATATCTATGTCTACCTCGTGAAGGTCTATGCTTGTTCGTCAGACAACGCCGGACTTCCTCAACTCAGCGACCTCAGCAGAGCCATACCCGAGCCCTCGTAGGACCTGGTCAGTATGCTCGCCCAGCAACGGTGGCTTCAACCTCACGTCCATTTGCGCACCCTCGAACTTCATTGCAGGTCCAATCAGTCTCAGCACACCATCTCTCGCTGCTTCAAAATCCTCCACATCGATGATCATATTCCGTGCCTTGCCTTGAGGGTGCTCCAACGCCTCGACAACATCGTTTATCGCACCATAAGGCAGTCCACTGCCTTCAAATGCCGTCATCCACTCGTCTTTTGTCTTTTCTCGAAATTTGCCCTGCAGAATCTGGTTGATTTCGTGCCTGTGCTCAACCCTCCCGTCATTGGTGCTGAATCTCTCGTCTTCGCCCAATCCAGCGATCCCCATTCGCTTGCAGAAGCCTTTCCACTGTCTATTGTTGTTTGCCGCCACGTACATCATCTTGTTGTCTCTCGTCTCAAACCCTCCATAAGGTACCAAGCTAGGATGTTCCAAACCCAGTCGTTTTCCTCTTCTCCTGGCCTCGGGACCTTTGTCAAGGTCCAGATTCAGACTCGCCAAGCCGACATTGATGAGTAGACTGAGGCTGCTTTCGAAAAGACTCCCCTCAATCAAGCACCCTTTCCCAGTCCTTTCCCTCTGATGCAACGCCGCCAGGATAGCACCATGCGTGTACAGGCCCGCTACGAGTCTTTGTTAGCCGATGTGCGATAGTGAAGGAGGTTGCCCACTCAGTTTTCAGAGAGATAGAGAGAACGAGTGGTCTATAAGAAAAGAGGGAGGGGGGGTCATACTGCACAAGTCGGCCATGGCCACACCGGGCTTGGAGGGGGGCCCGCCCTCTTCGCCCGTGATGTGAAGCAGTCCGGCCTCAGCCAGCGCGATGGCATCGTATCCTGCTCTCTGCGCGCTGGGACCGGACGAGCCATAGCCGCTGACGGCGGCGTAGATGAGTCTCTCTCCCGCGACAGGGCCCATGGCCCTTTTCAACTGGTCGTACCCCAGGCCCATGGCCTCGATCTTGCCCGGCAGAAAGTTATGCACGACCACGTCGACGCCCTCGCTGGCGATGCGGGAGACGATCTCACGGCCACGTGCCTCCTTCAAGTTGACCGTCACGGACTTCTTGTTCCGGTTCACCGCGGCAAAGTACAGGCTCATCAGGGGGTGTTCGGCCTTCCACTTCTGCGCCTCGCCGTGTGCGCGCCACTGCCGCGTCTCGTCGCCCACCCCGGGCTGCTCGACCTTGAGCACAGACGCGCCGTAGTCGGCCAGGATCTGTGTGCAGAACGGGCCCGCGAGCACGCGGGACAGGTCGAGAACTTTGAGACCCTCGAGTGGGAGGCGGTTAGATGGTTTGCTGCTGCTGCTGCTGCTGCTGCTGCTGCTGGTAGGTGTGGGTGTAGGTGTGGACAGCCATCTCCGTGTCCTTGTACTTGTTGATAATATCCACGGCGATGTTGCAGACTTATTTGGCAGGTTTCCACGGTGCGGCTTTGCTACCAGGGCGTGCCGTCCGAGTAGTGGTAGGAAACGTGTTGGTCTTGTCATTGTAGAGGATGAAGCATCAAGCTCAACCACACGCGTGATTTCACCTGTCTTCCCTTCTCCTCCTTCTTTTTCCTCTTCCTCCTCTCTTCGCCTCTTCCTTTTCCCCCCCTCTATTCCTTCTTCTTCACTCTTCTATTTTCCCCCAGAAGAGCCTCTATGTAGAAGTATATAGGTAAGGGACCAATAAGCATCTCACAGACTAATGCTCTCTCACCCAAGCTTCCGGGCTTGCATTTAGCCGCAGGTTACCTGTACCTTCGCAAGCACTTGTATGCAATGGAACATACGCCTTCAAACTCAGGAGAAAACTTTACACACAATTCGTACTTATTATGTACTTTGATACTTGACATGCACGCACATATTGCATCGGGTAGATCCCGGGCCTACGGGGGCCAACAACTGGGCGGTGAGTTTGGGTTTGGGTTTGGGTTTTGGGGTAATAGACAGACACACACACACAGAGCCGTGGGCCCTACCTAAATGTAATCATCACAGACCGAGGCTGACGAGGCTTTCGTGCGGGGAGTAGGGGAGTACTCGGTACACATGTCAACAGACATGTAACAGCTACCAAGGCTACCAAGGCTACCAAAACTACCTGGCGAATCAATAAAAGTAATTACTGCGAAGTGTACTATTTTATTTTGTCGATCAGGTCGGCTGTCTAACTAATTAAATCCGGAGCTTGAGTTGACAACTCGGTACAGAAAACCCCAAACTCATCCTCTAGGTGCAACGACGCACCTCCGAGAACGGTGAAGGAGGTGCTGGGTGAAAAACAACAATCAAAGAACTGAACGGAGCGGAGAGACTTGTTCAGAAAGGGGTGAGAACCATCGAGTCTTCGGAGCAACAGTTCGAGAAACTTAGCGTCTGGATATTGCCCTCACATGTTACGGCGCCTCGATATCACACAAACATGGCTTCTCAGAAGACGGTAACAAAGCTGATCCACGGCCTGGCAACAAGGACGAGGGCAGCACCCATACAAACACCCTACCGCTCCCTTCTACCCCGTTCGTCTTCGGCGGCATTCTCCACCACCTGTCCCGCCGCTGCTCGCGGGACAGAATACCTCCAACTCCACGACCCGGACCTCACAGACTCGCAGCGCACGGTCCGCGAAGCCATCAGCAAAGTGTGCTCAAAGTTTGGGGACGACTACTGGCTCGCCGTGGACCGCGAGCACCGCTTCCCCACCGAGTTCCAGCAGGCGGTCGCCAAGGATGGCTGGCTTGGTATCTGCATGCCGTCCGAATATGGTGGGAGTGACCTGGGGATTGCAGAGGCGGCCATCATGGTGCAGACGATCGCTGAGTCCGGAGCGGCGTACGCGGGCGCGAGTGCCGTGCACATGAACATCTTTGGTCTGGAACCGGTGAGGAAGTTTGGCACCGAGGAGCAAAAGAAGAGGATGTTGGTGCCGTTGATCCAAGGGCGGGAGAAGGCGTGTTTTGGCGTGACAGAACCAAACACGGGGTTAGACACCCTGAGGTTACAGTCGAGAGCTGTCCGGGACGGCGAATACTACCGGCTAAGTGGACAGAAGATCTGGATCTCTACAGCGCAGGTGGCAGAGAAGATCCTCATCCTTGTGAGAACGACGCCCCTAGAGGAGGTCAAGAAGGCCAGCCAAGGCTTAAGCTTGTTTTACACGGATCTGGACCGGAAACAGGTCGACGTTCAGGAGATCCCCAAGATGGGTAGGGCGGCAGTGGATTCCAACAGTCTGTTCTTTGACGGGTGGAAGGTGCCCAAGGAGGATTTGATCGGAGCGGAAGGAAATGGGTTCAAGATGATCATGCACGGCATGAACGCTGAGAGGATATTGATTGCAGCCGAAGCCTTAGGGACAGGGTTTGCCGCATTGAGACGAGCCGCCTTGTATGCTGGGGAGCGAATCGTGTTTGGTCGGGCCATAGGGCAGAACCAAGCTATTCAGCACCCCCTAGCGGAGAGCTGGATGGAGCTCGAAGCTGCCAGACTCATGATCTACCAGGCTGCAAGGATGTATGACGCAGGATACGAGGCTGGGGAATATGCAAACGCGGCCAAATACCTAGCCGCCGAGGCAGCCTTCCGGGCCTGTGAGAGAGCCGTCATGACGCACGGTGGTATGGGGTATGCGAAGGAGTATCATGTTGAGAGGTATTTGAGGGAGATTATGATTCCCCGGCTTGCACCCGTCAGTCGAGAGATGATCAAGAACTATATCGGTGAAAGGGTTCTCGGACTGCCTAGGTCGTACTGAGGTCAGAGTCAAAAGATAGAATAGATAGAGCTCATGCACTTCGAGGCACGGTCAATGAGTAAAGATGGAGGAGTTGTCGTTTTGTAAGATGGGGAAAATCCACTGGGGAATCACACTTGTACATTTCCCAGCTCCATACTCCAGTGTCGCATTGTGCCGAGTGCTTGCGACCCGATTCTCTTCCGCAGTGTGATCCTGGACTATTTCATTCTTTCATTCTGAGAGTATTCCAGGGTTGATTTTTCCCTCTTTGGGTTGCGACTCGTCACATATTGTTGCGGTCAGAACCCCTTTAGTCAGAGAGGTAGGTGAGAGGAAGGTAAGAGTTAAGTTGGGAGTGGCCGCCGACCAAGGTGGATCTGGCCGGCCTCACCAGTATCAAGCAGTCAAATTGATTGTCAATCTTTGCCTGTCATCAGAGCCACCCCGAGGCTAGGAGTCGGCTCGGACAGCCCCCTCGCCGATCGAGTGGTTCATGATGACCAGGAGCAAGGGGCAATGCCGAGGAAGCTCGAGGAAATAGGCAGACTCGCACAGCGGACTGGATCTGGAACGGTTTTCGAAGTCATGTGGATTGCTTGTATTGAGACTATTCCACTATCCCAACGACCCTGACGTAGAGCAAACCGTCGTTTTGCGCAGAGAAGAAGCAACGGGGGATGGGTCTATGGCGCGTCCACCGAGCTGTGCCTCTTTGCTGATTGTTTACCGCATCAGAATCGAGGACGTGGGGAGGTTAGGGCAAGACGGAGGAGATTGGGATTAGCGAAGAGTGATGGGGAGGAAGGGAGATGGTGATTGTGGCGACGAATCGGAAACTTTTCTAGCGCATGCACAGCCTTGCGCCTGCGCCTCGCCGCGTCACAGCCAATCATGATGCACATCCCAAATCGCCTCTCCTCACCAGCGTCAATTGTCCCAAATCCGTGCCATCATCTTCGCGCGGATTTGGAAATCTTCCAGAACGTTGATGGCAAAAGGCTCGCATTCTCCTCTCATACGTGGGTTGGAGAGGAGACTTGAATATCCGACTGGTTCTTCTGACTAGTGGAGTCTAGAGATGCACGCCTCCTTGAATACGTCTTGGAACTACGTAGAGGAACATTTTGTCGATCAAGGCATCAATGTAGAAGGCAAAATATAAAAGTGAGAATCCCCCACGTCTCTTGTACCATATTTTTCCATTACACATTACCGCATCATCATCATCCAGACATCCAAGACAAACAGTTCCCTCTCCATCAACCTTCAACACACGACATCAGCAATAATGTCTGGCCCCTACGATCAACATCTCGCCTTTGCTCCCATCTACGACCAGAACAATCAATACCACAGCCAGAGCTCCTACCCCAGCGAGGGCTTCTCAGGGTCATATCAATCCCAAGCATACCACAACCCTCAGAATTACTACCCCGACACCCGTGCCGCCTCTTCCTATCCCGACAACTCCTACCAACAAGGTGGCGCCAACACCGCATATTACAACAACAACGGCACAAACTCACAAGGTCCTGAGGCAGACCGTGGCCTCCTAGGTACGGCCGCGGGCGGTGCAGCGGGCGCATTCGGTGGTCACAAGGTGGGCCACGGTGTGCTGGGCGCTTTGGGCGGCGCCATTCTCGGTTCCCTGACAGAGGACTATGCAAAGAAGAACAAGAAGCATGGAAAGAACAGCAAACACAACCAAAATACGAGCAGTCTTGGGTCCGTAGCGAGCAGCTTTTTCAACAAGAAGTAAGAGAGTTTGACAACGGCTTCTGAATGATGTGACGGGCATTATCTTGTATATATATATATATGCAGGCGTTGGGTTTGGGAAATATTTGGGGGAAATTCGATCACAGGGAATGGTGATTGCATGTCTGGCGTCTAAGGCTTTGAGACTGGATGTTTGGTTGGGTGTTGACTGGGTCTTTGGCGGTTGTCCATCATCTAAACAGAAGCACTAAAGTTGCATCTTCTCGCACCATATCAGATAGGTTCACCTCGAGATCCAAGGTTCTCGAATCCAAGTTATAGTGATAACGCATGTGTGTGATTGATATTCTATCTTAAGTGCTATGGAAGTGTCGAAGGCACCTATCGAGCCACGTAGTGACCATCAAAGGCTACGTGCCATATGTAACTCAATGGAGGAACACGGGGCGCACATTAGATAATCTGAAAGCCTGCCGAACCGAATGCTTGTTTCCAAGCCCATAATCCAACACAATTCGTGGATGAATGCTGTGCGATCCAGCGGTAGCTTGTAGACCACTACTGACGACTGTTCTATGCTGTAGTATGCGTGCGTATAGACCATGATTGCACTTTTAAGTCACATTCGATGAAGCTTAGGGCGGTATGGACCAGACTCCGTTATATTTTGACAACACCCAGGAAACGATCCTGGCTGATGATTCTTCGGCTTCCAGATTGAGATTTTCTCAGTCTCAAGTCTCCCACAATAGCCCTGATAGGCACCAAGGGAGACGATTCATTCTTTGAGGAGTCTGGAAAACGAAGCAAGAAGGATGAATTTCAGTGTTTGATGAAGAGACACACAACACAGTCATGTCGACGAAATACAGGTCGATAGGGCGCACCTCAACTTGAGCCATTGGATCATCCTTCTCTTTGGCACACCACTGCGTCCCCGAACATGGCGGCTAGGCGTCGACAAGGCGCAGCTACGTTGCCATGTAAACATTTTAGCCATCAGCTTGCTCAATCTGGACGGTGTTGGCTGCTTTTGTTTCAGACTCAGCGTCCCCATCTCGTTCAAGTTGCTTCCGAGACGCTCGGTTGATGATTTCCTCGTCAGGAACAGCCTTGTCGCCGTCGAAGACCTTTGCAATTTCCTCCAGACTAAATCCTTTGGTCTCCGGGAAGAAGAAATAGATCGTGGTAAAGATGACGACGAGGAATCCATCGAACACGATGTAGTACTTCCAACCAATGTTCTTCATACCGACGGGGTTCGTGAATAGGCTGGCAAAGTTGAAGGAATAGTTAGTTGCCAGGGTGAGAGCCACGCCTTTGGTTCTCAACTCGACTATTGATTCCTTGTTAGGGACTCGGGTTGGGCAATAAAAGCTTTGGAAGGAGTTCCTTACAGGGAAAGATTTCGACTGGATATGCCACGATCATGTTGACCCAGCAACAAGCAAAGGCCATTGCGAAGATGAAGACAAAAGCCACGAAAGCATCGGCAGCAGCGTGGTTGTCGGCGTCGTTTGCAAAAACCCCCGCGCAAGTGGTGAGTGACATCCAGCTCACAAGCATAGCTGAGTTCTTGGGGTCAGCAACCGGCCTTCCGGTGGCGAGATGGACTTCTGATGAGGGAGAGGACTTACAGGCCACGGAAATCAAGAACAACGGACGCCTTCCCAGGACATCGACGAGCTGTGCGCCTCTGAAATCAATGATCAGCCAGTATCACCTGGTTTCTCAAGTGCCGGGAGACTTACGCGATGGCCGTGAACCATCTCAAACACTGTAGACATGCATTGATGAGAGTTTGGCTTGTTGCTGAGGTGATGCCAACGCTGTCGAGCATCAACGTCAGGTAATAATCAACCACCAGGGTCCCGTTCAGTTGACACCAGGCGCCAGTCATTATCCCGACTGCTACACGTTTTCGGTTGCCGGGAGTTTTGAGTAACGAGAGCCAGCTTTGATCGTTGGTGTTCTCTTTTTCGAGGCGGATCGTTTCTTGGATCTCCAGGACTTCCCGCTGGACAAGAGGGTGATCTTGGTCGCCTCCACAGTGGTACTCGGCAAGAAATGCTTGTGCTTCGACCGTCCGGCCCCGGCTCACGAGCCACCTGGGGTCTGGGTTAGCGCAAGCCGTGAGCTGGGGACAGAGTCCTTACCTCGGGCTCTCAGGGACCAGATGCAGAAGTGACAACTGGATCAGTGGGCAAAGGACCTGCAGAGCACTGGGAATGCGCCAGCAGGCGTTTGACTGGATGCGTCTGGTACCGAAGGTGACCCAGGCGGCGATCACTGAGCCACAAAAGTAGAACGAGTTGGAGAGGTAGGTGAGTCTCCCTCGGTGAGTGGGATAAGCGAGCTCGGTCAAGAGCACCGGCGAGGCGGCTTGCGCAGTGACGCTAAAGTATCCCACGATGAGGCGAGTGACCACCTAACAGGGAGCACTTAGTGATGGCTTTCCAGAGAAGGCGAATCTGGGGATCAACCCACCAGCATGGCATAATTCTGCGTCGCGGCTTGCAGGGCCGATCCGACAAGAATTCCTATCAGGCCAAAATAGATTGGGAACTTTCGACCAAACTTGTCCGACAGGATAGACGTTATCGGCAAGCTCACCACAGCGCCGATGGGGTAAATCGCATTGATGAGACCGAGATGGACGCCCACGGGTTTTCCAAAGTAGTTGCGCCAGACGGGGAGCGATTGTAACCCGTTCATCATGGAGCCTGTAAAGACGGGGTGGTCAGCAACCAGACGCACCAATTAAGGGGGTCCAGAGCCCATACCGTCGAAGCCTGCCGTCGTGGCCGAGAGCAAGAGGATAAAAATCAAGCCATTCAGTCGTTTCAGGTGAGGGATGGTCCACCAGCGTCCCCTGTCCTCCGGCATCACCTACACCGGGAATCTTAGGAACAAAACACACGTTCTTCGGGCAACATGGCAATGGACCTCGGCGAGGAGATGCCCCACGATTTTCTCATCTTTCAGTCGTCGAGCAGGCGTCATGTTCCTAGACGGCCAGGGGTCAACAGAGAACTCGAGCAGGCGTCGCAGGAGTTTGAAGCAGATTGCTTTTGCAGAGAGCGACTTGTTCTCACCAACACCTCGCTGTGCCCTCTATATATGTCTCCACCCAATCGATCCTAACTCTAAGCGAGGATCTGAACTTTTCAGCCCGTTGCGTGGAGCGAACCATGGGGACCCCAACGCTGACTCAGGTGCAACGGCCCCTGGGGTGCGGAGAGCCCAGACTTCAAGTCCTACCTTTGACCGGAGAACCCGTAACGCGTAAGGCTGGGTCGCTTTGGAAACAAAGTCAGTAAACCTTGAGCTGAGTCAAGCCACGGCACCGGCCGGATAGGAAGCCCCCGGGCCCACAGCTGCGAAGCTGGGTGGGATGGGATGGTTTGGCTCCTGGAATGAGTCAGTTCATTCATTGATCCAGAGCGCATGTCGCTCCAGGAATAGTCCTTATGCAATATCAATCGGCCAAGCTTCTTTTCCCTCTACGGGCCACCACTCGAACCCTTTGAACATGGCTTGCGGGCTAGACTGATCAAGAATGCATGGGAAGGTATTCGACGAGCTAGTTGAGCCGATCTTGCGTGCCTGAGGTCAATGCCAACACTATTCGCGGATGGCATGGGCCTCGTAATATTTCTTCTGTACCAGGCAGCATTGACATTCGAGCCACATGTGCCTCGTGGCGCCTCTGATGTCCTTCTGAAGCTTGGAGCTGCGTTGCACGAGTTCATTCGCCTCCACGTGTGTTTTCCAGAGATATTCTTCACTCTCGTAGCGTTCGAACGACCACAATACGTGATCAAGTTCCCTGTCTCGCGACCATAGATATGAGTATGTTCCAGCTTCGTTGGCCTCGGCATGCTTCGCGATTGCCTCCCAGAACGGTTCTCCTTCGGCACGTTTGCCTTCCTTGTATTCCAATTCAGCCACGACTGCAAACGAGCGAGGAGAAATATCGTCAGGGCGGTAGAGAAACCCTGACCAGGACTTCAACCGTCTGTTGGCCACAGGAACTTTCACCAGGTTCTGTCTCAAGCATTGTTCTTGGAGGCCAGAATATCCCACATCTTTGAGGACCTTGTCTTCTGACCTGACTTTTTCCTCCGGTTGACTGTTTCGTGGTCAGCCCGGGGAGAAATCATGCTTTTATCGGGCGTAGAACGTGGACTCACGCCAAAAGAGTATATAAAACGTGCAGGTTATCTGCTTTGTGGCCTTTCAGGACAAAGACGTCCATGTCAGAGAGTGCATCGAGTTCGAGGCTTTCAACATATGCTCTCAACGTTTCCAGCAGCTGTGTATCTCAGTCAGCGAGAGATTAAGGACCAGCCATCTCAACAGAAATTCAACCTACTATTTCACTCTTGCCGGCTTCCGACTCCCATCTGCTCAGCGTGATGATGTACATGTTGTCCTGTTACTTTGGTGCTGCGTCTTCTTCTGCATGGGAAATTCCAAGTGGACTACATATCGTGTTCAAGAGGAAGCCGGAATTATTCAAGCTTGAAGTAGTGTCTCGGAAAGGCGAGGGATCTGAAGAGCATACCTGACTCAGTGGACTGCGGTGGTCGCGACTAGAAATCTAGTGATATTCCAAGGACACTATTGCCTGGGCACAATGGATTAACTGCTCACGAATCCAAATTGGAAACTCATAGACCGCCATTATTGTACTCCCAACATACTCTCAAGGTTCTGAAAGCATCAAACTCTACCTCGCTCTAAGAATCTGACCGGAATGTCCAGTACCCGGGCCCGAATGTATTCGCAACAGTTCTTCCCCAGGCAGTCGTAACCACTGGTTGCCGTGTAGCCTCGCTCCAGATGGTCCACGAGGTGGAAGTGGACTGCTCGAAGACCGGGCATCTCGCATCGCTCAATCCGACCGCCCTTGTAGTCTTTTGCCAGTAGTTGTTTCATCTTGTCGGTGGACAGAACGGTGCGCAGCCAGTCCCATTCATCTTCGCGCCGAACGAAGATGCCGACATTGCAATTAGAAGACTTGTCACCGGACCGCCCATATGCAATGAATCCCAATGGAGCTGGCTTTGTGGGCCCAAACTGAGCCAGATCGGCAGGATTCTCCGTGTCACTGGACGCTTGTTGACCTGGAGGGTATTCTTTTGTCAACCGCGGCGGCTCAACCCTCAGGGCGTCGCTGTTAGGGAAGTGGGCGATCTCTCTGACAAGGGTTTGACTGAGCAGCGTCGGAAAGTACTCGAAAAATGGTTTGCCAATCGCCTGCCTCATGTCGATGGCCATGGTGGAGCCGGGGTAGCCTTGGAGGAGGTTTTCGATGCAATAACGAGCGAACGACCCGCGGTCTGACTCGACCAGGCCTCCCGCCGAGAGGATTTCTGGCGTCCGCGACTGAGCGAAGATGCGCATGTCGACCGTGGCCTCATCCTGGCTCTGGGGGTTCTCGGCCACCACTCCCGCCATGGTGAAGGTGAGGCACGAAAAGTGCTTGACGTTGTCGCCCATGGTTGCTAGAGTCTGCCTCTTGACCATTTCAAACTTCTCTTGGATGTCAAGTCCCGTCAGATAGAAGTGGAACTCTGCCTGATATCCTCCCTTGGCGGTGATTCCCACCCTGGTCGTGGGCGGTGGGGGAAGACCTGTCGAGGCTGTCAGCTTCGCGCCATTTTCACCATGCATGAGAGCTGTCAAGGCGAGAAGCACGACCAAGGGCGCAACCAAAGCTTACCTTTGACGCCTGAGACCTTGACCTCGTTCTGCCCAATGCTGCTCACCTGCATAGAATGGAGATAGGCCGTAACGTCCGAGTTGTAGTAGTGAAGCCCCTGAATTTCGTACATCAGTTGACTGATGACCGTCTCGGGAGAGACCAGACCATCTCGGCCCTGCTCCATGGTGATGATGGCCTCCCCTCGATGGTCAATGATGGCGATAGGATAGCCCATATCTGTGTCGTGCACTCCGAGTTGCTTGAACCCAGAAAAGTATCCGCCAGTCGCGTACGTGCTGCACTCGATGATGTGCCCAACCATCAGGGCGCCGGCGAGCTCGTCCATGTTGTCTCGGGTCCAGCCATGCCAGTACATTGCGGGCCCGACGCAGACAGAGGCGTCGGCCACTCGTCCGCAGATCACAATGTCGGCTCCAGCCCCAAAGACGGCGGCGATGCCGCTTCCACCCAGGTAGCACTGTGCACATATCGGTTCGAGCCCCCATTCACTCAGGGGTGTGCCGGTGGAGAGGTTCACAAATCTCTCTTCTGCGCGCACGTCAGCGAGCGTGGACTTTCCAGCCTCAAATGAAGCTGGCCTGTCGACGTACTCTTTTTCATCAAATCGAAGACGGTCTCCGTGACATCGTCCCCATCCACATAACCCACCGAGAGATTATGTCCCAGACGCTTGATGAGGGTTCGGACCGCCAGCGCTAATCCCTCGACGTCGCTTCCTCCAGCATTGACACAGAGCTTGATACCTTTCTTTTCCAGATATGGCAATGCTGGCTCGAGCTGTTCGAGAAAGTAGGGTTCGTAGCCTTTTCCCACTAGCGACGCTTCATTCTTTCCATACTTGTCAGCGCCTCGGAGTGTCATGCTCGCCTCGGACATCCAGTCTCCGACAATAAAGTCCAAGTCTTCGTTCTTTGCGAGGTCGTGGATGGCTCGCTTCCTGTCGTACACTCCTATTCACTGCCGTCAACCCATGCCATGAAGCTCGAGAAGCGTCTGCCATAGGACATCTCACCTCCTGAAGCTCCCGCAATCCGCACTGGGCGTCGAGGAGACCCATTCATCGTTGCCGCCATGCTACTACCAGGAGAATGAAATTTTGAACCTTGTGAATACTTTGGAAATGTCCTCGACGCTGAGATGATAAAAGGTTTCTGCGTTACCGGTCAAGGAATCTTTGGGTCCATGGCTTTATGGTCATCTAAGAGAAGTTATAAGCAGGTTTAGGGTTTGTTGCTGGCCGTCCCAGTGCGCATACGTTTAACAACCTGACTCAGTCCGCAACAAAGGACCTTGTTACGCTATGGTCCCACAGGCTGGGCGATTAGCCCTCTTGACTGCGATCTTGCTTGCGATGATCAATTCAGACTACGTTGCTGTTTCTTGCATTCACTGAGAAGGGAACCGATATTCTATGGCATTATCATACGCAATCCGTCAATCAACTTCATGGGTGTTGAAGCTGCTTTGCAAAGATTGTATATCCATGACTCAGATGTTGGTATCGTCTGCGACCGCAAGATGTAGACGGACTGGCTACATACCCAAGGGGCTTGCCTTTCGTAGATTTCCAGATAGCATTACGCTTTGTTACAGGGTTTCGCTATTCGGAGTTGTAGGCAATTCACTTGAAGATCACAATCCCAAGGTGTTGGTGGTCTTCCCGCTCTTCTGGCACCGCCTAGCTAGAACGGCATGTTGGCTTTGCCATAGGATTTCTGAAGCTTGTACAACCCGACCTCGACCTTGCATTTGGCGAGGATTGCCTTTGCTTTGGCAGTGCTCCTGGCGGTATCAAGTTCCTCCTGGATGGGCTTAGTGTCGAATTCATCCAGAGCAAGCCATCGAGGACGATGTGGAGAGGGCTTTCCTAGTCGATCGTCTCTGTTGTGCCTTGCATATACACATTTGTACCGCGTTGTCCGACGGTACCCACTGCATTTGGCCAGCTCCCTCAAATGTTCAGTCTTGTACCAGTTGTCGAACTCTTCGTCTGCTCCCTCGGGTGGGTCAACTGCGTAGACGATAACGAAAGGTGATCGTCCTGGTGCTTTGTGAATACATGACCCGCTGATACCCACAACCAGTTCCCGGGCATTAAACTCACCCTCCTTCGTGTTGAGAGGCTCATGTATCTGCCACCTCGAATAGTACCTCACATCAAAGTCGGCCACGTCGAAAGACGTCTCAGTGGGGAGCATGTCACTGGTGACCCGGATGGATTTGTATTCTTCGCTATTCACAAAGTCAAGTTCGGGACAAGGGTAGAGAGCGAGCCATGGCCTGCCATTGGGAGGACCGAGGCAGTAATATCGGAACCCGGCGGGCATGCCGCTGGTCGAAGTGGCCTCGGGGATGTGCTCTTCTTCATACCATGCGGCAAAGAGACCTTCGCTCACTAAATCAGGTCTGGTAACCTGACAAAACACCAGCATAAGGCCCGGGCCAGACACGTCCAATTTGGATACCATGGCTGTTTCTTTGGTTGAAACGACCCTCCCCCACTTCTGAAAGAAATGCCTCTCATTAAATACTGATGGAAAATGGATCCTTCCCCCACAAAGCTAGTCACTCCAAGATGTCGATGGATCAAACGTTTGTGATCGTCTGTTGCTCGCTAATTTGAAGGGACCTGGACCCTCAGTCAGACAGGTAGGCCCGGCCATTGTCGTCTATAGCATGAGTAATTTACATTCATGTCGATTCTGCAATGACTCAAGTCTCAGCAAGTCGGCGGGGCGTGCGGTGGTCACCTTCTGCCCTGCTGGAAATAACCCCAGCACTGGATCTACACATGAGTCAGTGACAGTCGACAAAACCAGAAGAGACGAAAACAGAATAGAATATGATATACGCTTGATTCTGCGGCAGCCATCAGCTCCCAAGCACTTGATAACAGTTGTTCCTCGTATTCAATCAAGATTTCCTTCTTTGTCTTTGAGCTCACTCGCAGAATCTCCTGACCATGAGTTTAGCCGTCCGAGGAATCCAGGAGAGGGTGTTGGTGGCAGTGGGCCTTCCTGTGATTGCGGTATGAACATATAGCAGCAGCAGAAGATATCCTGGAGAGTCGGACTGACAAAAGAAAAGATATTGACCTATACGATTCTCATTGGGGTATACCGTCTGTACTTCCATCCATTAGCGAAATTCCCCGGACCAAAGATCAATGCAATCTCTCCAGTAAGTCGACGGCTTCATTTGGGGAGAAAGAGGAACAACAAAAGGCATTTTTGCTAAGGGATCCCCAGATTCCGGGCATTCTTGCCCTCCTCCGAGGCCGACTGCCCATGGAAAACAAAAAACTCCACGATATCTACGGCCCCGTGGTGCGAGTCTCACCCAACGAATTGTCATTCAACACATCGGGAGCGTGGAACGACATCTACGGTCACAGACCAGGCCATGCAAACTTTCACAAGAGCTCCATCCACGTGGGCGCCGTTGATCCCCTCCCCAACGCCAGCACGCTGACCATGGCTGACGACGAGACCCATGCCCGGCAAAGACGTGCTTTGTCGCACGCATTCAGCCAACAGGCTCTGATGGAACAGGAGGACATCTTGCTGGTCTACGTCAATCTATTCATCAAGAAGCTCGGCGAGATGTGCGACCGAGGCGAAGCGTTCAATCTCGTCAACTGGTACAACTTCACCACGTTTGACATCATTGGAGACCTGGCCTTTGGGGAATCCTTTGGCTGTCTCGACAAAGGTATGTATGGAAACGCTCCATCTTCTATGCCTCAAAATGCTCGGAAGACGTTGCTGATGTCCCTTCAACCACAGGCCAGTTCCACGAATGGGTGGCTCTCATCTACGAGACTGTCAAGGCCGGGGCAATGGAGCAGGCGACGAGGCGCTTCGCCGAGCCTGGGTCGACAATTCAGAACTTCCTCGTCAATTTCATCCCGAAGGAGAAACGAGCGAGACGTCGCGATCACCTCTTGTGGAGTCAAAACAAAGTCCTAAGGTGGCGTCCAATCCCCCCCAAAAATCGTTATGGCCTGTACTATTACCTGTCATAACCCGCTAACGGTAGCCTCCATGGCCGCAGACGCCTTGAAAACACCAAGCTACAACACAAAGACTTCACGTGGTACATCCTCGATCAGCAGAAGCGAGGGGCGATTTCGCAAAATGAAGTCATTGTCAACGGCGCTTTGTTTATGTAGGTGATCAGCTCCTCAAATCTCCCCCTCCCCCACCTTTGTTCTGGCACTGACGCCAGGAAAGTGTTGCCGGAAGTGAAACCACAGCAAATGAACTATCCGGGTTGACGGCCCGGCTCCTCAAGAGCCCACGGGTATACACCAAACTGGCCAACGAGATCCGGGATGCCTTCAAAACCGAGGACGACATCACCAACGACGAGCTCGCCAAACTGCCTTACCTTGCCGCTTGTCTGTCCGAAGGGCTTCGCATCCATCCACCGCTTCCCACAGCGCTGATGCGCCAAGTTCCCAAGAACGGAGATACCATTGACGGCCACTGGTCAGTGTTCCAGAATGCCTGGCCTTTGTTCTGGCCGACCTTGTGCCCGGCTAACTTTTGATGTGTGATAGGGTCCCGGGCGGCGTGCACGTTGGCGTCGGCGCGTGGGCCGCGACCCATAGTGCCGCCAATTTCAAGAGCCCCGACGAATTCGTCCCCGAACGCTGGATCGACAAAGAGTGGGCCGGAGATGATAAGAAGGCTAGTCAGCCATTTTCCACTGGACCTCGTGGATGCATCGGGAAACAGTAAGGCTCTCGCCCCCGTGACCCCGATCTGGCTCCCCCTGGCTAACCCGAGGGTGGGCTCAATCCAGCCTTTCCTACATGGAGATGCGTCTGATCCTAGGCAGACTCCTCTGGCATTTCGACATTGTGTCCTCCGACGGGGCACCACAGTGGTCACCTGAAGGTGAGATGCAGTACATGAAGGCCTACAACACGTGGGAGAAGCCGGAACTGAACGTCACGTTGAAACGTGTCCAGAGATAAAAAGACTGTGAGGTCGGTGAGCCGAGGTGGTGGAGAGCACTATACACTGAGCTTGAGATCTATAGATGGCCGAAGTGTGTTCAAGGCGCCTTTCTTCTTGCACGTAGCTAGTCCTGGCTATCGTCCCTGCGCAGCCTCAAGCTGGGGGCGTTGCAACTGATCCTCAGAGGCAAGTCCCAAGGGATCCCGGGAGCAGGACGGTTGGGGCCTCTCTCGGTGTAATGAGATCCAAGATACACCTTAGAGGGTCGATTGGGGTCACGGTCGTCAGATTGACGGTTCGCTTACTCGCGACGCCGTGGCGAGAACTCAGCCAGCTCGAAGTCACGGAGAAAATATGAGATTGTCGTCCCAGAAAATGTGACCGACATCATGAAAACAAGCCGGAGCACTAGGCAGCGTACATCCACTTTGGCTTTCCACAGTTTGATGTAGAGCATTCGCAAATGGTCGACTGACGGCCGTCGCACCACTTTTTGTTTAGCATGGCCGTTGCAAAACCGTTCCCGCGGCCTTCTCGCTGGATGGCGAACAGAAACAATCGGGAGCCCACCCATAGATTCTGCAGGGGCACTAATATCTCGCGACTCTTTAGCAATAAGATGCAAGCGTCGAATGCTGTTGTACTTCAACAGCAGAAAGGTGCAGATTCACGTTCACATTTTCTTTCAGATTCATCAGAGCTGGAGATATCGTCTTGCTGAAGGCCCTTCGTTCACGGTCGGTGGCCGGGCACGTTCATTCTTCGATAGAGCCATCGCCGATATCCTGCTCGATTGCAGCAGCGAGCTCGGGGTATTTCTGTGTGAATCGAGAACCTATGGTCCAGTTCCGAAGGTCTCGGATGTGCTCTTCGAAAGCCGGGTTCAGACTCAGCACCGTCTCGTCTTCTTTGGCCGCACTGCCACGCGAAGTGATGAGCACACAATCCGAGGAATAGGGCCAGTTGACGGAGACGGAGGTGGAGTGGAAAGCCCCAAACTCCTCGACGTGATACAGCTCTTGGTCTTTGACCAGGATTTCTCTCACTGACGGCCTGACGCGCGCTGCAAGTTAGATCCGGGCCCGAGTGCACGATTAGGATGAAGGGGGACTTGCCATGGAACTCGGTCCATCCACGCAGGGTGAGCCACTTGCAGTTGGATTGCCCGTGGACGCATCCACAAGGGCATCTTCTCGAATCTCTTCCTTTGAAGACTAAGCCGCCACTTGAACGACGCGCGTTTAGATGGTGGTCTTGTGGAATAATAAAAGGTGTCAGGCAGACCTACCATCACTGATGAATACATGGTGTAGACCGAGGCCACCCTTTCCGGGAGGCGTGAATAGCCGGTGTAGGCTTTGACGATGTCAAAGACGGCTCGACAAATAGGATGGCCACACAGTCTGGACGGCGCGCCGACAAGGACGTCCCAGCAGGGGAGCTCAGGGCCCAGCAGCTCATCCCACGGGATGCCTTCTGCAGCCGCACCTCGCTGAGACGCGATAAGGCCCTGCAGGATGCGATCCGAGGGTATCACTGGCTTGAGATTGTACGGAAGCTGCTCACAGAGGTCGACCTGGTTGCTGGACGTTGGACTCCACCCACCCGGCCAGCGGGAGGATTGCTCGGTTGAAAGAGGCTGGAGCTGCATTTCATCGGGGATAGAAGGGTCCGGCACCTGTACAGGACTGCGAGCCGAAACATCTAGAGCAGCCGTTAGCTTCGTGTTCCGGAAGAGCATTGGATTCGGCACTTGGGTGTGTGTGTGTGTACCTCCTGTTGCCCCGTGGGCCGAGAGATCGATGCTCACTTCATCCGCAGTAACGGGCTCGGATAATTCGTCGTTCAACGGGTCCTGGCTGGTCCGCCGTAAAATATGTGCATCCCCATGTTGGGGAGAGGTGTGGCCCACTGAGACTGGGAAACAAACCGGGTCGAAACCGACGCCTTCCGAAAGAAAATCGGTTCTCACGTCCACGTTTTGCGGATGCGGAAACGACGTCAGACAAGCTGCTCCTGGAGCAAACCTGGTGGCTTCATACGACGCCGATCTCTCCGTTGGTCCTTCGCACGTTGATAGACCACTGGGCTGAGGGAGAGGTGGCGAAGACTGCGTCTCCATTGCAGCACTCGTATTGCTCCTTGCTGGGCTCGGGGCAAGGGCGTAGTCGTTCGCATCTTGGTCCTGATTAGACCTTCTCGGGGTCATGTCACTGTGGATGGTTGGCAGAATGCCTGCGGGCAAGGAGGGTCGTATGGACGATAGTTCGGCGTCTGAAAAGGGCTTTTTGGTTCGTAGTTGGTCGAGTCTCCTGGCCATGGCATGGACCTCAGCCTCTAGCTCGGAGGCCAGGCTAGCCTTCTCTTTCCACTCCAGGCATTCGGTGCTGAGGCTGTTTCGCTGAAGGGTGACTTCGTGCAGCTCCCGGCTCATCTTTTCCGCGTTCTGGGACATTCTGGCAACTTCCTCCTCGAGAGCTGCGATCTTCAGTTTGGTCCTCTCTCGGAACGCCTGTTGAGATCTTCGATCGGTCGCGCGTTTTCTCATCAGTTTCGTCGAGTCCATTGTGGAGGCTTTGCACTTCCTTCGAAGGGACCTGGCTTCTGCTGGCGTCTCTCCCTCGATTGTGTCGCCCGGAACCGGCGTTGCTGGGTCTGTCATGCTTGCTCGGCGGTCGCGTCACTCACACTTCTTCACTCTTTCGAACTCAAGTCGGGGATATTGCTTGCTCGCTGGGGCGCGTGTCGCAGAGACGCTGGGCCATCCAACGAACGTCTGTACATCCGCGGATGGTCGCTGGGAAGGACGCAGCAACGATATGGGCAGCAAGGGACATGGCCGTCGGGGGGAGAAAAGCAAAGCTGGGGAACCTGGGGGCTTCGGTAGTTAGTTGCTTGCTGGACTTGGCCTCCCCCGCTGGAGTCCGGGGTACATGGCCCCCGAGGACGCCAATCAACGACGGCAGAGATTGACTTAGGCGCACCAGCAGATTTAGTAGCTAGTCACGTTGATAGACCAGTCCTAGTCCAGTAAGGTAGCGCCATTACCACTTGGCAGACCAACAGTACCTCTACTGAGCACCAATTGCAGGATTATTAGCGTAGACTATTAGATACATTTCCTGAGTATGATTGAGGTCCTACAGTTTTTTGTCGTCTATACGTAGGTTCTCTGATAGTAATTCTACGTCACTTAGTAAACGACCGGTCAAATCTAAGTAAGTAAAGTAAATTACTTGAAAATGAAGGTCATCTGGACTCCGCACCCGGAGAAACATTGTTACTCTGGGTGTCTGGCTAAGAGGTGGCGGCACTACCGTACTAAATTAGAGACTAGTCTACTAGCGTGACTAGTAACACCTTGCAATGTGCGCTCCTGCGCCATTAGCGCCGTGGCACATACTACACACATGGTTGATAGATAAGCTGTCGGACACTCTCCCAGCCTCCTTCCTAGTTACAAAATACCATACCGCCCCGTTACATCTATTTTGCCCCTGTTCTGTCCCACAGCGCCTATGTAGTCGATCTCGCATTACTCCCAGCTCTCTCATTTCCACCCAAAAATCTGTGTGGGTGAACGGCGCATAAACATTGTGCACCACAACTGCCAACCGTTTCCCGCGAACTAGCACTTTCGAAAGCTTGTCCATGATCCACCGAGTTCGGCACCACACCCGAAAGAACTGACTCAGTCGACCGTGGAAATGTGGAAATGACTCATTGCATGGCACCCAGATCAGAGGTCTACCTCGGATGGTCTGCCGTTCCCCATCCTTCATGGTCAGGAACTTTGCGGTCCATTGGAGACGGACGCTTTTCAGAAAAAGTCTTCGGTCGCGGTTTCGAACACGGTCGTATCGAGCGCCATGCTGTCAGTCATCATCCAAGCATTCAAGCTTGGACTGAGATCGTGGAGAATCGACTGACCCTTGCCATCAGTGGAGCTCCTTTGGTCGACGGCAAACCCATTGCTGCCCGAGGATCGCTGGTCCTGCGAGCTGTGCCCGATTCCTGGAGTGTTCTCCTCCGTCATGCCGTCGAAGATGGAGGAACTATTGCTGGCATTGATGAGCTTCTGGGTCTGCGGTGGTGCCATCTGAGGTGGTTGGCCCATTTCGAGAGGAGACATCAGCATGGGCCCTAGGGTCAGAGAATTCGTGCCTGAGAGATTCGTGACGCCGCTGAAATTCCAACCGCGATCTATCAGCACATTTCCCAAGGACTTCGCAATTTGGTTTGCCCGTCGGTATTTGTGACCCATCGAACCTAGCACACTCATCAGAACTTGCACCTGTCGGAGCGCTCTAGGACTTTCATATTTGTTCTGTTGAGTGCTGGTGAGATCGTTGACCAATGCAATCCCGGCAGTAGAGGCGGTCAGGAGCGCCGTGCCGCACGGATACATTCTGCCAGGAGTGTGGTAGTACTTCTCGAGGATGTTGGCGATGCAAGAGGCGTGCTTCTGACAGAGTCTAGCAGACAACTGGGGAAAGACATCGTCGACCAAGGCCGGATCCACGCCGGGCTCCGCCTGCCGCTGGCGCCGCGAGCTGTCGCTGTGGGCGAGAGGCTGATGTAACAAGATCACAGCCATATGGTATTGCTGACTATTGAACGGCGATCGTTAGGCCGGCGCTGCAAAGGACAGGAGACACAAATCTACTTACTGGAGAAGAAAGAAGCCCGGGGTGGCCAGTTGGCAATTCTCTGGCGTCCAGTTCAAGCTCGGGGGTAAGTTTTCACGCCACATCCGGAGGCTTTTGGCAAGGTCCGCCATTTTCAGCATGTCAGGCTCAGAAGAAGATCGATTGGAACGGAGGAGGGTTGAGATTTCTCCATAGACGGTCACCAGTTGGACCAAGCTCTCATAGATTTGCACCTCCTGGGCCGACGTCTGACTGTTGGAACCGCTGCCGGGAGCTGATATTGGGGTCAATTCAGTGTATCCAATGTCGGATGGCTTGATTGATGGTGACCGTCCAAGATACACGGCCCAAAATCTGGTGTCCGTAGCGTCATCAAGAGTGAACCTCGTGCGAGAAAGGTTTGCTTACCTATCAAAAAGAAAGCACGCACAAAACACCATGCGTCTCTCAAAGCGGTGCTGTTCAGACATTGCCTCGGAGCTCTCTTCGTTCAAGCCCAGCTCAAAGGCGGATCTAATTGCGATCCCTGCACGCGTTGTCGACGCAGATTCAGCCAACGGTCGACCCAGTGCCGGACAACAAAGGTGCATTGAGGGCCAGGGTCTGGGTATGAGGACAACAACCCGGGAACTGGATCTGCTCCCTCCACTCACCTACATACATCCAGCCTGTAACGTCCCTGCCAACGCCGCTTTCCAGATCCGCCAGAATCAGCAGAGCTTGAATGCTGGACAGGCCGCCGGGGATATCCATCTCATATTTGGCTAGCCTTCGGGCTTCCGTGTGGAGTGTGCTTTCACCCTCACGCGTCGATGCCAGAAACCTCTGCATATCGGGCCTAGACTTGTCGGCAAAGGTAAAACCCATGGCCAGCAGGCAGACATGCAAGAAGCCACTGTAGGATGGCGACCCGGGATTGCTCGCGCCCTGATAGAAGGATTCTTTGTGGACAATGCGAAAAATACGGTTGTAATGTTCCCAGTACAGGTCCATCAAGTAGGTCTGACTCGCCGGAGGTATTCTCTGGAGGAGCAGCTCGGCTCGAGTTCGGATTTCCCACACAACATCATCGAACCTGGGGAAATCCTGATCGGAAAGTACTTGCAAGGGCGAAGCCTGCCCGAGATTGCGCATGGCATGGCCAGATGCTTGACGACGAGCGCCGCCGGACCCTGGGGGCATGGGCAATGCGTTTCTCTGAGGACTCAGGGGATCGTTGTCAGGTGGGTACTGTTCGACCGGCATGTACTCGGTGTTTGCAAAGGCGGCCATTTTATCGTTGGAAGAGTCCGGGAGGCTCTTCGCGGCGCTGCCATCTTGAGGGTCAACGTGGTGAGCGACTGCCGAGGGGAGAGCGGATGTCTTGGAGAGTGCGCACTCCAAGACTTGAATACGTCGTTGCAAAGACTCGATGCAAGTCCTGGACAGTTGCCTGGGGGGCCTGTCAGTCATGCAACCAGCTTCTGTGACGGGGGGAACTATGCGTTGCCCGCTTGTACTTTTTTCTTCGGTCGTCCGTACTGACGAGGCAGGGGAATTCGTTCTCCCTGCAATAAGTACAATCGCTCTCGCCTGGTTCAAAGACACACTAAGGGAAACAAAAACCACTTAGTAGCGAGCTCGAGAGATGTCCAAATGGTCCTACCTTGGTCCGTCGTGCTCTGCAGCTGTTGCAAGCCACAGTGGCCCGGTGTCGTGGCCGCGATCTCTGTGATAACTCCTTGTGAGTATTCATCCTCTGCAGTGTAGCTTTTGATAAGAAAAGAGCAATGGAGAAAATGCGAATTTACCAGGCGGATTCTGCACCTAGTATAGGGCATGAGGCAGCGGATGCCCCAGATGACCGAGCTATGTAAACCTCGAGGGGATCAAAAGACAGGAGCGAGTGGGCCACAGCATCCTCACTGAATCATTCGCGATATACTATAACAAACAGTCTAACCTCTTTTCGCAGATTCTACGCTAGCCAGGAGAAGGTAGGTTCAAACGGGAGAGTTTCAGGGCAGCAAAGCTCCGAAACGTCGAGGGTCCATGTCCGAACACGTCCAGTGGACGAGGTGGCACGTCCCTGTTTGGCCATGGTAAAGTGCTCATCAGTATCTCAAAACTCTTTCTTCTTGCATTGTCCTCCTTCGTGGGGTATCAGAGGGGTTGAAGTACAACCGTGGAAAACCCTGGCACAGTGGGATGATGTCTGCGAAGAGCATCCTTTCGCGTGCACGCAATCTGCTGGGCCAGGACAAGGGCTGTGGCTAGGAAGTGTCTCAACGAATATATGTTATAGAAGCCTGCGTGTTCGGTGTTGTGGTGATGATCGCGGAGCTACTCGCTGAATGATCCGTCCAATACCTAGTTAGGCAGATTGGAGTCCATCCCCTGATTTCACTAGGCGCCGCTGGTCCTGCAGGCATTGCCGGACATGGACGAGGTAGCTGTTCCTGTCTGGCATGCCTTAGGAGCCGTGTTGCCGCATCGGCTAAGTTTAGGCAAAGCAAAATTACATGGTGTCGCCGCTGCTTAGATTTCCACCAAGTGACTTCCTGTCAGGATTTCGACTCTTTAAACATGTGTCGACGACTTGAAGAGGCAGAGAGAGCAGGTTTCTGCCAGAAGCTCCGACAGCAACTGTGCAGAGTCAAAGTGGTGGGAAGACGAGGATCAAACCTGAGGGTAACTATAAAGGTCGCACCAAACTTTCCACAATGGCGAATGGCACGGGTCATGCAAATCTCGACTCTCCCATCATGCCGTACGCAGTCCTGGATCAATACCATTCTCAGCCAAGCAAGATAAGAGTGGCATGTGCCGGAGCCGGGGCCACAGGCTTGTGCTGTGCGTACAAGATGGAGCGGATGTTGGAGCCCAATTCATGGGAATTGACTCTGTTCGAAAAGAATGAACAGTTTGGGGGGACATGGTGGGAAAACACCTACCCGGGCGTGGCCTGCGATATCCCATCCCATCTTTACACATTCACCTGGGATCCCAACCCGGAATGGTCGCACTATTTTGCGTACGGCAATGAGATTCAGCGATATTTCGAGGGATTCGCCAAACGCTACGGTGACTGATGCTGAGGATATCGTCGTTGAAACTGGGACTGACACTACTACATTTCAGATCTACACAAGTACATGAAATTGAGGACGAAAGTGGTGGAGATTAATTGGGACCAAAGTCAAGGTATCTGGAACATGTGAGCCATGTTGGCCAGCGATCCACGAAGATGGTACTAAAGCGTTGCGACAGCACCCTCCAAGATATAACTACGAACGAAATATGGTACGATTGGGCACATGTCTTTATCAATGGAACTGGAATCCTGAATACGTGGAAATGGCCCGATATCCAAGGGCTTCATGACTTCAAAGGTCCCATGATGCATTCGGCAAAGTGGAATCACGAGGTCGACTTCAAAGGCAAGAAAGTCGGTGTTATCGGCACTGGGAGTACATCCGTACAAATCATTCCAGAGCTTCAAAAGGTTGCGGGACACGTGGATGTCTTTATGAGAAGCCCAACTTGGATCAGCCCGCCGTTCGGAGCTTGTGAGTATACTTGTTGTACTGGGAGAGCTTCTCATGCTAACATCGCTCCTCCACAAAGCCGCCCTGTCAGCCCTGAGAGGAGGGGATGCTCCGGATCCTGGTAAGCGCCAATATACATTCACCGAAGAGGACAAAAAGCGGTTCCGAGAAGACCCCCAATACTATCTCCGATTCCGCAAGGAGATCGAAGCTGAGATCAACGTCCTGTTCGGCATGTATATCCAGGGGTCGGACTTGCAGAAACAGTTTCGAGACGTCATCACCAAGGAAATGATTCGGCGGCTGGGACCAGGCAACGAGAAGCTCAAGGAGTTCATCATCCCGAAATGGTCCGTTGGATGCAGACGGGTATCGCCTGCTGATGGGTACCTGGAAGCATTGGTGTCGGAAAATGTCACTCCGGTCTTTGGGGAAGTCGACCGGGTCACCGCCGAAGGAGTGGTCGTTGATGGGTGCGAACATAGACTGGACATTCTTGTTTGTGCGACAGGTTTCCAGCCGGCGTTCAAGCCGGCGTTCAAGGCAAGTCAGTCTCACCAGCCCCCATATTCTCGAAGCTAACGAGTGGACTACTAGGTCTTCAATGGGACTAAAAGTATTGACGAAGACTGGGGTTCTGGCTGCAATATGTATCTTGGAGTCTCTGCACCAAGGTTTCCCAATTACTTTACGATCGTGGTAGGTCTCATTGGCCCACGCTTCATCTGGTTCTCGGTGATGATGATGATCTGACATATTATCTCCAGGGACCTGGCGCCACATGGAGCAATGGCACTCTCCTCCCAGGGATCGAGACCACAGTGGAGTACTCGATCAAGATGATCAAGAAAATCCAGACGGAGGGTATCCTGTCGGCGACCGTGAAACAGCAAGCTCTCGACGATATCTATCAGCATTTTGACGAGTTTCATAAAGGCACAGTCTGGCACGAGGACTGCCGAAGTTGGTTCAAGGACGGCAAGATCAAGAACAGAATCTATCTATGGCCAGGGCCCGTGAGTTTGTCTCTTGATATCCAGGAAGATCCCGAGCTGATTGACGTCTTTGACAGACGATTCATTTCCTCAAGACAATCAAGGAACCACGCATGGAAGACTACGACTTTGAATACAAATCCGGCAATCGATTTGCATTCTTGGGCAATGGGAACGTCAAAGCAATGCTGACTGGTGATATCGACGGGTTGAGCCCTTATATCAGAGATGTCGATTGTCCATGGACTATAGATTAATCGGCTTTTTGACCCTCTGAGGAGCATTTGCTTCTCAAGTCACTTTCACTGCCGCATAGACATTCTTAGGGACTGTTAACTCACTGGCACTTCATTGCCGTGTGACAATCATTTTATACATAAAACCACTGGAGGAACAAGTTCCGGGGAATCAAACAATCGATTCTGCAAGCTTTGAAATCCAGCTCTTTGATTCCAATCGTGGTCCGCACAGTGTCGCGAGGAGCCTTGCCCTTAAGATGGCCAATGTCCTGCCAAAAGTACACAATACAATTCGGCCTAAATTTCTCAATGAAGCTATCGGGATATATCTTTTCGTGGACCTATACTTATCCGTTGACAAATTCCAGCCCTTTCAACAGATTCTCCTGGAATTCCCGTGCTTTGTTCGCCAAAGAGGGCCCGGGGAAAGACCAGAAGTAGTGAGGCAGTCCTCCGTAGCTGTCGCACTTGACCGGCACGCTGCCACACAGTTAGATCTTCTCGAGTGCTCTGAATATGCCACTCTCTCTTACCCGTATTCTTCCAGAACGTGTTTCAGGAGTAACCCATCGTCACGAAGGACATCCTTTTCCGCCACGGCAATGTATGTTGGGGGCATTTCGTGCAGCCTGGGATGCAACAAGACCGACGTGTAACTGGAAATTTCGTTCGTGTAAGCGTCTGCACACACGGGATGGTTAGCTACAAAGTCCCCCATGGCAACTTGTGAAGTCACCGGGGGGATAACATACCCCAAAAGCCACCTCGGTCACGCATAGCATCCGCTGTGTCGATCGGACAGTCAGCTTCTTCGTCATAGGATCGGTACCGATTCCGGAATTTCAATGGTACGGCGTCAGGATGGACCGTCACAGGCACCAGCGCCGCAACACCCTTCAGAATCGATTTCTGACCTTGATCGATGATCTTCAAGGCCGAGGCGATGACGAGATTGGCGCCTGCAGAGCCCCCTATCACGATGACTTCTTGCGTCGTCGCTCCCAGCTTCGTAGAATTCGAGCTTGTCCACGAAATTCCCCGTACACAATCGTTCAATCCGTCGGGGAAGGGATGACCTGGAGCGAGACGATAATCGACAGAGACAACAACCATTCTAGCTTCTTTGGCTATTGTCCGAGGTTGAAAGTCCTCAGTGTCAAGGTCGCCCATGGCCCAGCCCCCTCCATGGACATAGACCGCCAGGGGAACGTTGCGTTGGACATGTGTGTCTTCTGGGAAGTAGATACGGATCGGGATCTTTTCTGGAGCGATCTCCATATCCACGGACCTGATGGACGTGGTTTCTGCCTGGGGCAAGGAAAACCGAGCCGATATATCGTTCAAAAGCGATCCCCATTCCTCCAGCGTGCGCGACAATGGACTGTGAAGCTGCGGGCGATATCCTAACTGGGCCTCGAACTGCTGGCCGTGAGCTATTATCCAATGCTTCTGGCTAGAGGGGAGAGGGGGAGGGCAAACCTCAAGCCACTCTGGTGCATATTCTCTCTCGCTCATCGTGCACCTAGCTTGGATCGTTGGGACGTGAATTTCGAGGACTCTGCTAGCAGCCACTTGATACCTCTGCTTTCTTTGGGGGGCTGGGAGGCCATTGTGCCTAAGTCTTGCTGGGTACCTCCCATGGCCGTCCGCGGGGATGGGTCATGTCTGTCCCTCCCCGCTTGGTCTGACATACACGGCACCATCGGAACATGGGTTTCCATTTAATGAGCTTGAGGTGCCTAAGAGGCACATACAAAGCTACGAGGCTTGGATATTTCATAACCGAGAACCCCTTAGGGCATGCCACCTCCACCCATCCATTAGCCGGGCGCAAGGCTATTCTTCCGCGTAGGTCACCAACAACCGGCACTCTAAACCCGGGGGGAGGGGGGTTGGGTGACTTCTGTTAAGCAGGCGTACTTCCGTGGCGTTGAAAGAATCACTTGAGAGCTTCGAAGGGGAGTTTGAAAATAAGACCACCACCTCGGCGTAACCGCATCTCCAAGGTGTTTTCCAGCTGTCCGATGTTCTTTGGCTGACTTCTCACTCGCAACTTGTCGCTGTATAATCCATGTGGGCTCTTCGTATGTGAAAATTTCACGCTCGCTGTGGACTGGTTTGGGAGCCTCACTCGACCGCTCCGACATGCCTCGGGAATCCCCTTTTCCAGCTCTGGATATTCCCAAAACCAACATCCTATCCTACCTGTTTCCCACAGGGACGAATGACGATACCGTCCCCTTGTGGATCTCTTCCGACAATGAGGCACCTACTCTCTCGACGAGCCAGCTACTGTCGTTGGTCAAGAGGGTGGCCGCAGGATTTTCAGCCCTGGGGATCAAGCCCGGCGACGTCGTGTCGGTCTTCACTCCCAACCACATCTACGTCCCGGTGATTTACCTGGCCACCGTTGGCTTCGGGGCCATCTTCACCGGATTCAATCCCGCATACACGGTGGGAGAACTGGTCCATCTGCTCCGGGACTCGGAGGCCAAGGTGATATTTGTTCACCCTCGACTTTTGAGCACCGCCCGAGAGGCGGCGAGTCAGACCGGACGTTTGGAACCGAGACTCGTCTTGTTCCCGGATGGCCCAGTCGAGGCGCGGACACAAGGCTACCGGGACTGGTGGAGTTATCTGGAGAGCCCTGCCAAAGCCAGTTCGTGGTCATGGGACAACTACGGTCCGAATGAAGCAGAAAGTCGAGTTGCCACGATCAACTATTCATCCGGGTAAGTCAAAATACGTCTTCTAGGTCCCTTGTTGTTTCATGATCGCGTGCATACGATTTATGTCCACCAGACTCACGGATATATGACAGAACAACCGGGCTCCCCAAGGGAGTCATGGTAACGCACGCCAACATCATCGCCAACATCCGGCAGACGATCTTTATTCGCTATCACCTGACGCCCACGAAAAGAGCCACGGAGCGCTGGCTGGGATTTCTGCCCCTGTACCACGCCTACGGACAGCTCTACACCATTCTCATGGCTTGCAAATTACGCATCCCCGTCTACGTCATGGAGAGCTTCGAACTGAAAAGGTTCCTGGGCGCGATTCAGCGGTTCAAAATCTCGAATCTCCAGATTGCCCCGCCGATCTTGGTGATGTTGGACAAGAGACCAGAGGTGCGAGAATATGACTTGAGCAGTGTGCGAGAAGTGGTCTGCGGGGCGGCCCCGATCCCCCTCGAGCTCCAGACACGAATCTCTCAACGGTTCGGATTCAAATTTACCATTGGCTGGGGAATGACGGAGCTGACGTGCACGGGGACATCGATCCCCGGGGGCATGGTCGAAAACACGGGAAGCGTGGGGTTTTTGCTCCCAGGCATGGAAGCGAAATTGGTCGATGAGGCTGGGTACGAGGTCGCGACGGGAGAACGTGGCGAGATCCTGATCAAAGGACCCAATGTTTGCCTGGGATACTGGAGAAATCCCGGGGCGACCAAAGACTTGTTCGACGACCAAGGCTGGCTGAAGACGGGCGACGTTGCCGTCACGAACTGCGAGGGGCTCTTTTGGATCGTGGACAGAAAGAAGGTAAAGGGCGTTACACCTGGGTTTCGGCTTCCAGTCGCGTCGACTAACTTTGTTGCAGGAGTTGATCAAGGTGAATGGGCTCCAGGTTGCCCCCGCCGAGCTCGAGGCGAAGCTGCTGGAAAATGAACACGTGGCCGACGTCGGGGTTGTGGGCATCAATCTGTACGAGATCTTCATTCGGGGGCAATGTGTGTGTGAGAGACAGAGAGAGAGCATCCAACTAACCCGTTCTTCATTAGGGATGACAATGAGTGGCCGATGGCGTATGTTGTTCTCAAGGACAAGAGCAAGCAGAAGACGACTCCTCCATCCGAGATCGCCAGCTGGCTTGCGACTCGGGTCGCGAAACACAAACATCTCAGAGGTGGGGTGTCGTTTGTCGATCAGATTCCCAAGCTTGCAAGTGGAAAGATCCAGAGAAAAGTGCTCCGGGAATGGGCTCGTCGAGAGGCTCAGCAGCGTCAAACGAGCCAGCGAATGCTCGCCAAAATCTGAAATTGTCACTCGAGCCTAAGGAGCTTCCGTACTCGGTACTTGTGGCGAGGTGTTGAATAGCCTGAAGTTAGGCTGTTGCCGGTCCATCCTCTCTACTACTGGCTCGTTGCTAAACCTCCGGGAGTTCCAGGTCCCGGACGCAAAAGAGACGCCCAAAGACGGAGCTTATTGGAAGAACATGGTCTGGGATGGATTGATTGGTTGAATTTTCCAGCACCTGTCTACATACGGAATGCTCTCCACTAGCAAACCGGGAGGACAAGAACTCGTAGATGCTAGCTCAAATGGTAGAGGTTCATCGCGCCAACCTTTTCTCGTCAGTTATTCCAAACCGTGTCCCCCAGCTGACTCATGGAATCGCTTTGGCCTCCCGAAACCTCTCAAATGCCGTCCACCAAGCTCTTTTCGAGTCCGAAACCTCTTGGAAGCCCGCCTGCCTCATTCTCCCGAGATCTAAAGATCGGTCGAAGCAGAGCTCGGACATAATATGCTTTTGATAGCCGGCCTTGCCTTCGGCCAATTCGTCCCTGATCAAATTCGTCTCGAGTCCGTGTGTCTGCACCAGCTCCGACCACGTGGCGAGGTGTGATCTCATGTAATCGGCAGGAGCCAGGCTTGACTCGACCGGCTCGGTCCCCTCGAGCCCGAAGAATTGGCAGATGATGGGCCAGCGTTCAGACCATGACACAGCCTGGTCGCTCCCCGCGACGTTGAAGGACTGCCCGGCCGTCTTATCCGGGTTCAGAGAAGCGAAAATACTAAATTGCGCAACCGCGTCCTGGGGACTGTCGTTGGATAGAGTGTTCCACGCTTCGGTCGAGCCGGGGAACGGACAGGTCGTGCCCTTCCCTTCAACCGTAGCAAAGAGACTCAGGTATACGGCCAACGTCTGAGCCAAACAGTAGGTATTGCTGTTTGGCACAAAGCCTGGCTGGTCCTCATTAGCTGTGGATTTTTCATTGCGATTGATATGAATCAGGCGACGAATGCCTGTAACTCACAATCACATCCGGCCGCAGATCGACCCATTGCCAGGAGCGGCCCCGAGAGAGTCTTCGAAGGGAATCGATTTGTTGATAATAAAACATCCTGGAGGCGTGAGGCTCGGGGATTCGGGGCAGGCTTTCTGTCAAAGGTAATTGATTTTGGAACGGAAAGAGATCTTTTCCTAGATGAACCCCGTACGCCTAGATCCGTGGTGAGGACCGTGTGTTGAATCGATGTGAGAAGGCACGGCGTCGACTCACTTTCGTCCCACTGGGTAAGACCACGAAGGATAGGTTGCTGGAGAGCCGGTCGACGGCGCGGATGGTTCGCTCCAGCATCTGCGTGTTCACCGAGCTCTCTTCCTCTGGAATGCTGGAGTGCTTGTATGCTTTACCGCCATCCTGTTCAGTGTGTATCCCCGAGGCGGAGCGCGACCACGGCTCTTACCGTAGAAATACAGGTCGGTGACATTGTTGATGTCACGCACCTTTTGTCTCATCTTGGCCTCCAAGTCTCCTTGAGTTCCCTCGAGGAGATCCAGCCCGCTACACACTTGCAGGGCGTCAGATTTCGGCCACAGGGTATGCTCCTGGGCGAGCGGTCTGTTGGTCACGGCGGTAACCTTGGAGAAGATTCCTTTCTGGGGGTAGCCACGCAGAATCTGGTTCACAATCGCCCAGCCAGTGATGCCTGATGCGCCCATGACAAGAGCGTGACGCCCCATGCTGGAAAAACGCAGGGACGACTGTTGCTGCCTTGGGTTCAGAGATTCTTTGTCAGACCCTACTCCAGCTCCAGATGTTCTGTGGTTGACTAGATGAACCCTCTAATTTCATCAATTCATTCCATGTTCCATAGAGACGTCGAAAAGGAAGCGTAGCCATATGCGAAGCTAGGGAATTTCGGCTATCGATAGCCTACGGGCTGAGATGCATGCCTACACATTGCGGCAATAGGCTCCCAGAAGAAGTAATTAATCTCCTGTTTGGCCTTTTTTTTTACCATCATGTTCATCGCCGTCTTTGCAGACATGCTGGTGAGAGTCATGCCTACCGAACTCCGCGTTCAGTAAGAAGCCTTTGCATCACCCATCACCATAAGGCTCGATTCGATTTGCAGATAAGTGGGAAGATTTGAGCTACATTTCAACTCTCCCAGGGGGCAAGGCTCGTTTTGTCAGATAGCCAAACATGACTTTATAGTTTCGTAAACAACCCGGTTTGTAGAAAGTTGCCTCCGTCCAGGGGGAGAACGACCCCATTGACGAAAGAGCCGGCTTGACTGCAGAGAAAAACCATGGTTCCCGCGATATCTTCTGGCCTGCCAATCCTCTTCAGGGGATTGGAGGCGGCCATTGCGTCCACGCCCCCGACTATGTCGATAAGCCCATTTGACAGCTTCGTGGGGAAAAAGCCGGGCGCCACGCAATTGCAAGCGACGTTTCGCGGGCCGTACTCCATGGCCAAATTCCGCGCAAGGTGATGGGCTGCCGCTTTGGATACCGAGTACACAAGGGTACTGTTCTCGCCGGTAAAAGGGACGGTGAAGCCTGCTATTGCACCGACGATGATGATCCGCGCAGGGTCCTCGGGGCATCCCCCTTTGATGAGAAGAGGAGACAATCTGCAAATCACCCGTCAGTCCACCACGATGAACCAAGCGTGGGGCCAACAGGCGGCCCGCATCTGCAACACTCACAGACGTGCTAGATTAATGATGCTTCGGACGTTGAGGTCTAGCACCTTGGTGATGGATGCGTCCGGGGTGGTGTCGAGAGGTCCGCCCCAGGTCGCGCCGGCATTGGCCACCAGAATGTGAATCTTGGGCACGATTGCACCGATCTCCTTCGCGAGTCGCTGTACCTCGGAGAATTGGGACAGATCGCAAGGGATGGCAACAACGCGGCCTCGGGAGTCTGGGATGGTGGCATGGAGCGCTTCCAGTGCCGACGACAGGCCTTGCGGACCCTCCATCTTCCTCGCAACAAGAATCACCCGTGCTGCGCCGGCTTGCAGAAAGGCCGTAGCGGTATGGAGGCCGATCCCTCTCGAACCTGGGAAAGGCTCTTTAGTTCTCTTTCCCCTGTTGTGTGATCAAAGACATTGTTTACCTCCGGTAATGACGGCCACTTTCCCGTCGAGGCGAAAAAGCCCTCCGAAATTCTTCAATTGCGACATTCTCGACTGCAAAAACAGAAGAAGAAAAAAAGGGACTTGAGAAGATTGAGAAACCAATTTGGGAGGTGCCAGTCCTCACAACCATGGATATATATAGGAGAACTGAGTCGTCTGTCTCCATAGGCATTCAAATAGGCAAGGGGGCACCCAGGGGGGTTTTGGTCCTATCAGATCTGACCCCCGCCGGGCTGGGTTGGAAGCTAGAACAGACATGGCAAAGTGGCGGCCATCGGCAATCCGAGGCTCAGATATGCTTGTGAAGACCTTCCTCCGGAATCCTTACTAGGTATATACTATGTAGCCGTCGGGTGAATCACCTCCCAAAGGCTACTTCTAAACAGGTTACATGACCATCCCATCCAGAGTTGCCATATAACGGCGTGCGGCAATGCAGCAACTCCACCTATAATGAGCGGACAGGAACCCCTACTGACATCTCTGCGCTGCCCAGTCGAAAATGTTGCTATAGCAGCAGCTTGCCCAAACTGGTCAGCGTTCAGGGAGATCATAATTTAGCAGCCAGCTCCCCCGCCCTCAACTGGTATTTGCGGTGCCGGGCCTGCAATTCGGCGGCTCGTTTCAGCTCATCTCGTCCGACCTGATGCCTATGTGCGGCGTCTGGTCCATCTGCGAGCCGGACATAGCGTGCATAGGTCCAAGCATGCGGCATGAAGCTTTCCTGGGTGAGCCCCAGTCCGCCATGCATCTGCATCGCTTCGTCAATAACTCTAGCAGCCATGGATGGAATGGCAATCTTGGAATGTGCAATGGCCTGACGTCCGGCTTTGTTGCCCAGGATATCCATGGTCTCGGCGGCATTGAGCACGATGAGCCGCATGGTATCAATGTCCAGCCGCATCTGTGCAAGCCGTTCGATGTTACTGTCGAACTCCCCAATGAGTTTCCCGCGGGGTTTCTTCCGTGGGTCGATGGCTCGGATCAGCGCCATTTCATAAGCACGCTCGCTTTGCCCAATCAAGCGCATGCTATTGAATCCGTTCTCGTCAGTACAAAAAGCGCTCCTGAGATGGAGTGACGCAAAAGTGGTCATACGCACCAATGATGGATTCTCCCGGGGCCTAGACGACCTTGAGCAATCTCGAATGCCCGACTTTCTCCCAGGATCAGGTTCTCCACGGGGACTCGAACGTTTGTATAGAGATACTCTGCGTGTCCTTGAGGGGCGTCATCATATCCCATGATTGTCAGGTTTTTGACAAGCTTGATTCCCGGGGTGTTGGTCGGAACAATCAACATGGAATGTCGTTTCCAGGCGTTGCGATTTGACGGATCCGAGCAGACCATCAGAATGAAGAAGGTGAGATCTCGATTCATCGTGGAGCCTCCAAAGACCTTCCGCCCGTTGATGACATATTCATCACCTTCTCTGTGCATCCTGCAGCTAATGTTCGTGGCGTCGGACGAAGCAACCTCGGGTTCTGTCATGCTGTAGGCAGACATGGCAGTTCCCTCCAGGAGCGGCTTCAGCCACTTCTCTTTCTGTTGGGTGTTGCAGTATTTGGCGAGCAGTTCGATATTTCCGGTCTCGGGGGCGTGGCAGTTCATCGTCTGCCTTTCGAGTTAGGCTCTGCGCGGAAATGAAGGCATGTAGGGTCATGTTACCTCTGCCGCCCAGAAGCATCGTCCCATGATCTCGGCGCAACAGGCATATTCCAAGTTGGTCAACCCGGGGCTTTCTTGGAATGTCTTGGGGAGAAACAGGTTGAAGAGATTTGCTTCGCGCGCCCGCCCCCTCAACTCTCTCATCTTGGGCTGTACGACCCAACGGTTGCCTTCGAGCTGGTTTTCCATGACGGATTCTGCTGGAATACATTCCGACTCTACCCAGTCGTATACCTTGATGATCGTTTCCACTGCTTTGGGCGACAGCTTTGGTTTGACACTCGCGGGGATGCGAGAAAATGCTGGATGTTGAAGCGCCATGGTCCGCATCGCCTAGGCCAGGTTTGTTGTCCAGTGACTTAAGATGTCTGTCTAGAGAAATACTCGTTGATGTGAGGAAACGAGGCTTGGATTAGGTAGAGCCTGGTCCCTGGTGATGATCCCCCCACCCACCATTGACATCGGAATGGGGACTGAGAACTTTGAAGACCTTGGGATAGGCTGCCTTAGGCTAAGCAGTCGGCTATCCGGTTTCCAGCTGCCGGAATGGTAACCAACACCGCCTGAGTCAAAGATTGCTATCCCATCCGATGTCCACACTTGTCCTGACAAAACTTAGTTTGATGGTGAGGCCGTCTGCCATGACCTGCAATAGGCGTCTAGCTGTTCTCGGTTCGTCTCGGCAGGGAGAACAGAATAAGGCCAGCACTGGTCCGGTTGGATCACAGCACAGGACATGGCAACTACGCGCAGGTTGTACACAGTGGCGAGACCTATTGTCAATGCTTAATTAGAGCAGAGTGCCAGAGGCAAGTCCGTGAACTCACTATACCGTCGTTGACCCTTTCTACAAGGAGACCGCAGTCAATGGCATATCGGGCTTGGAATCGCCAGAAGCACTTCAACCTGCGACATGGTACAGCGTAGTTGGCCTGTTATCCCACAGCTTCAATGGTGTCTACCATGGTCGGCGGCGAAGCTGCTCCGGCACAGTGCCATAAACCAAACTTCCGAGCCAAAGAAGCCTGCATTACTTGCAGGTCCCGGAAAGTACGGTGTGACGTCTGCTTTCTCGGGGCGCCCTGTACAAACTGTGTTCATGCAGGCTTGAACTGCCTGTTGCACAAGAAGAAGCACCAGTATGGGCACACGAGGGAGCAATGACCCGAGATGCTAATGACTGCCACAGGCGCAAGGGAATTGTACCTGCCACAAATATCTACCCACCGAACGAAAGATCAACAAAGCAACTGCCAGAGTTCACCCCGACTGACGCGACGCCGGTTGAACAAGCCTCACATTCGGGCAGTGTGGCCGACGATTTCACAGCTTCTTTTACCGGGTCGAGGCACAGAAGTCCATCCACCCTCGAGGAGCGTGGGAATGGAAGCAACGTTGACCTATCGATACCGGAGTTTGTCTTTTGGCACGCCGAGAAGTTCTCGACTGCGCAAAGGGAGCATCTCTCCAGGGCGGGAGCATTGTCACTGCCGGATATGACAGTCTTGAGCCTTCTTCTCGAAACCTACATCGACTGGGTCCATCCGCAACTGCCCTTTCTCGAACTGAGCAGGTTTCTCTCTGCTATCAGCTCCAATGGCCAGACCTCGCAGCTCAGTGCTCTGCTGCTGCACGCCGTGCTTTTTGCTGGCGTCTTGTATGTCGATGTCGAGGATCCGGTGTTGACGGAACTGGGCGGCAACCCGAGAGACCTCAGGAATACCCTGCGAGCTCGAGCAAAGGTGCGTGAGATGCGTACGCGGCACTGTTCGTTGCTTTCATTGGCACTCACACGTTTATAGGTCCTGTACGAAGCTGGTTACGAGCAAGATAGGCTGAGCCTCATGCAAGCAAGCCTGCTTCTCTCCTTGGATAACTACATTGAGGTCGAGGTCAATCATGACAGCAAATTCTGGCTGGATATCAGCTTGATGACATTCCGAGATTGCACGGCTCTACAACCCGACAGAGAACTTTGGGATCCTCCATCTCGTCGACTGTGGTGGAGCCTCTACGTCGTCACCAACACCATGGCCTTCCGCGAAGGAAACCATAGCGCCCCCGAATTTCAGAGCCGTGCAATGGGATCCCCTAGCATTGCCAAGTTCGGCTCTCTGGTTAACACGAAAGTGACTTGGCCAAATCTCCCGGGCAACTCCTTCCTGAAGCAGCCATATCTGCAAAAGCTCCTGGCCGAGATATTCATCCATCGATTAAGACTTCAAAATCTAATATCGAAAATTATGGAAGAAGCAGCCGCCTTGGGGCTGAACCGAGAGACAATCGGACAAAGCGAGGCAGGGGAACGTCAGAAGCATCGTCAAGACTTTGCGAGGTTGTTTTCCAGATGGGATTCCGAACTCGACAAATGGTGGTGCGGACTTCCAGATTATGCCTCCGATCTCAAGTCGGGTTTCCACTCTGGTGATACCATGCCGTCTCGGCTCCTTTCTTTTCACGTTGCAGTTACGGGGACGGAGTTTTTCAGCATTTGCAATGCTATTTACAATCTGTTGATGAACATTGAGGATCCCGCTTCCTTCAGCATTCTCGCCGTCAAACATAAGAAAAGCATGAATTCTGCAAAACTCCTCGACATAATCAGCGCAATGGACGAACGAGATCTCCCGCGATATCTCCTGAATCACGGCCTTGTCATGGTAGAATGGGCGTTACAACAGAGTCTGAGCTCCTCATACCTGTCCACTGCTTCAAAAGAGGTCTCTAAGCTACTCTTGTTGGTCAAGAAGATTTTGGACATCCGCGTTGCCACGGGACGGGACAGTAATCCCCTGACCCGATTAATGAAGAGCCGGGCCAAAGACTCGACAACGGCAGTTGGCTCCACCTCCGGAAGCCCTGGTGAATCCAGCCCTCTCATGGACCAGGATCGCGAAATTACTACCGAGATCCGTGTGGAATCACCGTATTCAGCTTTGCGGTCGTCATCGGAAGCCTCAATCCCTAGCGAAACACCAATCGATTGCGGCAATACTACGGAGGACCTCGATGCTCTATTCTCGAGCTGTAACGGCTATGCTCTCGACGACGATTTGATGTCCCCTTGCGATGACATCGACTGGTTCAAGGCCTAAACAAAGGAACGAGGAGGGTCCGGTGCAATAGGCATGTTTTAGTTTTACTTGTACTCTTACCGAGACCCATCGTGGAACTCGAAAGCGAGCTGGTCAAGGAGCGCAGCTTCAGACACTGGCCAGTATCAACTTTGAATGGGCACCTGAGCGTTTCCAGTATGGCGGCAGACATCGGTGCAGGGTTCTTGTGGCACATTATTTAATGGCTGTGCGGCTTAACAAACGGAAGGCGATTTTTCGAGAATTTGACCTCATACGAGTTGTGAGGATATTCGAGGGAAGTCCAGCATGTAGGAGAAGACAGACCAAGGTAACATCTTATAGTTGGGCTATCATTATGTCGAATTCGTCCTTGCTTCAATCGATATGTGAAGGCTCTGAACGGTTTCCCGTATTCATTTGCATCCTCGTAAGTCGAAATTTCATCCTTGCCTTTTTTTTATCACTTCATCTCACCCAGGCTCGATTGATGCTGCATTCAGTCCAAACGACAGACCTGTCGAGTTCTCCGTGTTCTCAAGTGTCTTGAAGGGTCGGCGTCCCCTAGACACGCTGTTGAACCAGCAGATGCGGCTATTCGAACCGAAACGGGAGTTGGGGGTCCAGGGCTGTTTATTGGTTCCAGGGCCCGCCATTTTTGCCGTCCATCAGCGGACCAACCGGACCCAGCACGATGCACACCGACGAGCTCGACCGCTGGGCGCACTTCATTTTTCAAAAAAGTTGACGTAAGAGGATTAGCGGCAGTCGAGCAAGCGAGCAGAAGTTGGGCTGCGGTCGGCTGCGAGGGAAGGAAGAGCACTCTTCCTCTCCATCAGCGAGGATGAAGGCCTATTCTTCAATGCGGACCCTTCAACCAAAAGACCCTAACGCCGAGGCCGCCGCGGCGGCTCTGGCCAGCAGCGTCGACGAGGCGGCAACCACCGAGGATGGCACTTCCTCCACCAAGGCCAGGAAGAACGTCAGCCGGGCTTGTGACCAATGTCGAAAGAGGAGAAGAAAGGTAAGCTTTCATGATTCTCGGCCGCAATCTGAGCCCAGGAGCAAATCTGCAGAGGGAGGGGGGGGGGAAGCAACGTCCAGCTGAATGTAAAAACGGCTCTAGTGTAACGCGCTCCGACCCTGTGCATCTTGCATCCATACTGGACGGAGGTGCACTTACGACATGGACTCCAAATATGGCGACCTGAGACGCAACCGGAACTCGGTCCAGCACGTCGAGAAACTACGCCAACAACAGGCCGTCCTTGACCGACTCTTGCACCTGATCCGGAATTCGGACGCTGACGAGGCCATCCAGGCGGTCAGAGAGGGTGCCACCTTCCAGGAGATAGCGAGTGTTCTCTTGGGTAACCCGCCAGAAGCTCCTTTGTCTCAGACGGGGGCAAATTCTTCGAGCGACACCTCCTTGGAAGATTCGTCCGGCCAAACAACGTCAGACAAATCTGACAGCCCCGGGTCAGATCCTGTCAGGTCCCCCAGGTCAGCGGGGGGAAAAGGCAAGGACGTGGAGCATGCCGTTGGGGGGTGGCGTGGGAAACCTGAGAAGCGGCTTCCAGCGCCTGAGCCGAGTGAGGAGACGGTCCTGCCTTCCGCTGGAGAATCCTATACCTCTGCAGGTATACCGCAAGGCCAACGACACGCATCTGGAGACCGAGTTTGGACTGGCTTGGCAGGACGTCTCACCACCGTGGAACTGAACAAGATCAACATGCCGATCTTTGGTTGCGATCCATTTCACATCGAGTCGGACGACATGTTGTCCAGGACCATCCTGAGCTTCCGCGACGGTGCCCGGAAAGCATTGCAGGGGAGTGCCAATGTCCATGATCTCATCGGAACCAAGAGACCAGACCTCGAGCTGTTCCTGCGGCAGCGACGAGAAGGAGACCCCCACACTGCCTGGACCTGGGCCTGCGAGCTGGCGAAAGCGTATCCATTGCCATTGACGGTGCAATTGACCGGGATCTTTGTTGCCGGGATCCAAATGCGGGTGTGTTGTTGAGTTTGCCCTCTGCAGAGTTCGTTTTGAATACTTAGTGAAACCCAGTATTTCATTCATCCATGCAAAGAAACATATGAGGACTTGCCTGTGATGTTAAGACCCATGAAGCAGCAATACACGCAACCACACGCTGCAGGAGCTGACATCTGTGCAATGTGAGTACCTGTCTCGACACAGCCATGAACGGGGCTGACCCGAGGGTCTATATAGACCTCCCGTCAAGCAGTATCTTCTTTCTCATTGGGACTCGTACGCCTCGCTCTTAGCGGCCGGGCAATACAACAAATGGCCGTACAGTAACAAGGCGTGTTTCGGCATGGACCGGACCAGAAATAAACCCACACTCTCGACGGCGTTTCTTGAACACATATCAGACCCCAAGAACCACACTGTCGGGCCCAAGATACTGGAACTCGTGCCAGAGGCGGCGGAGTATGTGAACCACGAGGAAGGCTTGACAGGCCATGATGATGCACGATAAATGTATCTTGGACCGTGTCGTGCTGGAGGACGAAGGCCTTTTTGGGATGTAGCCCCTTGACTCCAAGGTCACTCGCTACTGAGAGGAAGGCGTGGGGTGAAAAACGAATCTGACTGTCAGAAGGGGGGGGGAACCCTCGACTTTAATTAGCCTTTTAAAAAAGTCGGCTACATACCTTTAGTGGGAAATTGGAGGTGTTATGGTCTTGAACTCGGTTCTTTTTCCCATCAGCCATCTATACCTCTTGGAGACAAAAGGGCCAAAGAGGGAAGGGTTTCAATGGAACTTGCCGGCGCAAAGAGGGTGGGTCATGGCTGCATTGGCAACACATCCCTCCGTATGTACCGTAAGTTGAGACGAGAGTTGGGGTGAGTTGGGTGACTTAGTTTCTGGAACCATCTGTGAATTAGCGGACCCTATTGTCCTCGAGATCGGAATTAGCATGAGATCTCACAATCCCAATGCGGTCGTGCTCCGCTATTTGTCCTTGTGTCCCGGCGGAATGAGCGATCTGATTGGTTGGGGAGACCAGGGGAGATGTAGTTCCGACTCTTGGCGGCGGAATTGGGGGCACCACCTCTTCAGGAATCAGGACGACTCGTTGAGAAGCGCACAATTGCTCGCTAAATAAAACCCCTACTTGTTCAGACCTGGTACGAGGTTACCACTTGGAGCATGAACTGCTTGCATGTACGTAGCTGACCCTTTAACGAACCCTTGTTTGAAACCACCACATCACAACACGCCCGGCTACACCCACAAACCTTCTCGTCTGGATATCCACGTGTTGGCATGAAGAAATAATCATCGAAGAGTCAAGAACCTATCCAGCAAAATGGTAGACTGGGCCACCAAGACGTCTCAAGGTCCCGAGAAATCAGCGAATGCCTAGCAACCACAATTGACACGGTGCGGGGATCAGTCCGCGAGTTCAGCTGGTGAGTGGTGACTACTCCTGATGACCGGCTCTTATCCGGGCGTGGAAAATTGTGATTCGTTCTCCTAATTTTGTCGGTCTTCAAGTTCTGCAGGTAGTGGTTCGCCGTTTTACTCGGGCCATTGGAAGGGGAAAAAAATTCAACACATTGACAAGTCACTCACTACCCATGGCGGATAGGGGGACGTACATTGGCAGGGGCATTTCTGTTCCGGCTTCGGCGTCAACTGGTTAAGACAATCTCCGGGATTATGGGCGTCGTTGCTGGCTACACGGACGGCATCAGACTTGCACAATCCTCGCCGCTTAGTTGTCTGCATATTCTGCCTGTCAGCATGGCACTGTGCGACATTTCAGTCCCGGATACGCCATTCATATCCAAAAGCCGCTGCAGCACGCAAGCCCGTCTATCATTGCCATCACATGGCGAAAAGGTGTATACAACTAGGTAGGTACTTCCAATGGAAAGCAAAGAGGCCAGAAGATCGAAATACAAATCAATTTGACCTCTGTCTCATTCCATACCCATGGTCACCCATTGCAGTTCGTCAGGGCATCACACCTTCTCGAACAGCGTCAAATCCTTGTTCCTCACGGTCTGTATCGGGACTTCCAGCACACAACCAAAGAACGCGTAGTACAGTCCAGCTTGGAAAGCCCATGAATTCGGAAAAGTCTCACCATACAGATAAGGTCTACTCCCCACAATCTCCGGTATTCGCATCGTAACGCAAGGCACGGCTGACAGGAGGACGGTAGAGAAGAGGCATGTGCTTTAGAGAGAAAGGGTACTGTCTGTTTAATGCCACTCACTGTGGACCGTGCAGTCAAGGGGTGAGTATCATATTCGAGCCTTGCGCCACCTATCGGGGTCACATGGTCACACCATGAGGTGAAGTTACTCGACTAGGGTTCGAGTCTGCGTAACGACCAAAACGAAAAGGCCATCCATCATGTCATGCCCTCTCGCATTCATCCCCCTCGACCCAAATGACAAAAACTTTGCCATCCAGCCCCTTCGATATGGGGGTGGATGGCAAGTGAAACCCGCCTTGTGGCTAGTTTTTTCCGTTATTTGGGGAGCCATTGACCTCCCCGCCTTCCGGTGGCAGGGTTCCTGATGACTTTTCCCCTTTTCCTTTTTGTTTCCGAGTTTCGAGGAACCGAAGGATCGGATCGAGGAGGATCGGAGGAGGAGGAATCGCCTACTTAAACCCAAGTCCGTCACAGTTTGTTGACTCTGAAGTCTCTTTCTCTCTTTTTTTCTTTTGTGGATTGTTGACTCTGAAAAGTCTCTTTCTTAAGTAGGGGTCTTTGCGATTGTTGACTACTTTTTCGAGACTATTAATCATATGTGATTCTTTTTTTTTTCTGGAGGGGGTCTGTTCTGGTCATGTGTAGCCCTCGTTGACGCCAAGGTTTGATATTCTGCTGGTAACATAGTGGATACATACAGACCCACTATCAACAGTCCACACTACTACCTACATGTAAGTATCTAACTAGTTATTCAAGGTCCATTGCGCTACTCGGGCCTTCCCTAGGCTCGGGGTAAAGTAATGATGAGTTGTGTGTCATATACGCCCATCTGGTACCCTGGGAATAATATTGGGGTAGAGGTGCGGGAAACAGAGTATGGGATCGGTTACGTCCACTCGACAAAGGTGCGGAGTCCTCGCATCGCGCAACAGGTACAAACCTTGACAGTGGCCGAGGTTTCTTTGAAGAGTGATGTGGAGATATTTAATTGATGACGGCCGTCTTCTCTCTATCGTTATAGGTCTCTCATCCCATCATCCTCCATCATTACGGCCAGAACCGGATCTACGACGACGACCACTACTATACAAGGCACTACCGATAACTCTCAAAAATGCCACCACCCTCTGCGGCCCAGATATCCCGCCTCTTCGCCCCCTTGGCCATCCAAGGTCGCCAACATGAAACCCTCGCCCTCCTCGCCGACGATGTCGACTGGACCATCTGCGGCCACGCGCCACCCATGTCCCGCCGCTACACCTCTCGGCAGGAGTTTCTCGACAACACGCTGAAAGTGCTCCGCGAGCGCGTCCTCACAGAGCCCCTGCGTCTCGAGGTGCGGAACATCGTCGTCTCGTCCACGGCGTCGGGGGGTGGGGAGGAAGGCAAGGACGAGGAGATTGACGGCGACGTGGTGGTCGAGTTGGAGGCTTTGGATGCGACGTGCAAGAATGGTTCGTTTTGTTATCCTCCTCATCCTCCTGTCTATTGTTCTCTTCGTTATTTTGGATCTGTCACCTGTCTGTTCTCCGGGGATATGATCTCGTCTGTTCGTTTATGTATATATATCATATGATATCTGACTAACTAACTCCCGCACCTTCGTTGGCTGGATCAACAAGGCCTCCCCTACGACATGCGCTACTGCTGGGTCTGCAAGTTTGCGCACGGCAAAATAGTCCAGGTGCGCGCGTACCTGGACACGGACTTGTTGACTAGGGCGTTGCAGCAGAATCCGTGAGGGGTTTGTCGGGTAGAGAGAGAGAGCGAGGGAGCGCGAATGAGCAAGCAGGCGATTAAGCAAGCAAGCAAGCAACAAGGGGGTCAGGGAATCAGGGAAGCAAGGAAAGCAAGCAAGCAAGCAGAGAAGTAAGCAGGCACTGCGATGTCACACTCACAGGATGCAATGGAACCCCAGGGGTCATCTCATCAGCCCTTGAATGCCATGGCCCGGTGTATAGAAACAGAGGCTGGCCTTGTTGTTTTATAAGTGGATGGATGGATGAAGTCACTCGGTGCGGAGGGATTAATCCCGCGAGGGTGGATGGATCATTTGCTGCAATCATCTTGTTTTGTCACAGCGTCCCTAGCCAATAACTTGAACCTCTTGCTATCGCCTGCCTGCTTGAACCGATCGCTATGATCTATCCAGTATGCCTCGAACATGCAGCTCTGCTCGCGCTATTCCAAGGTGGAAATTTGCTTGGTGAATGATGAGAACTTGCCTGACGAACCTTGCAGAAGGTGCCTTGAATCATCACCTCTGCTCATCGGCGCCGGATGAAAATTGCCCTGCAGACCTTTCAAAGGATGCCTGCAATCGTGGATGCACTCCCCCTCATTTCAAGACCTTCAGGTCGCTCTCCTTGAGCTTCCCGCCACCAACCAAGCCACCCGTGGTCTCCGAGAAAACCTCCTTGACCTTTGCTGCGTCCTTTCCGGCAATGTTGAGTTTGGAGACCAACTCAGCCAGCTCGTCGGGATCAACGTTGGCGAGTAGCTTGTCCACGTCGTTCAACACATCGTCGATCTGCTTGGGAGACGCCTCTCCCGCCGAGAAGTAGTTCACGTCCTTGACACTGCTCTTGACGACGCGCTTGTTCTTCTTGACCGCATTCTTAGCTGCCTCTTTCGCCTTCTTGGCCACTTCCTTGTCCGCTTTTAACTTTTCTTCTTCCTCCTTCTTCTTGCGTTCTTCCTCCTCCTTAGCACGTTGCTTCTCTTCGGCCTCGCGCTTGGCAGCAGCCTCTTTCTCCAGCCGCTTCTTGTTCTTGTCTGCGCTGGCGGCCTTGCGGAACTTCTTGATTCTCTCGTCGTAGCTGAGGCAGTCGTCCACAAGCTTCCTCAAACGTGCCGTATCCTCGGTCTTGCGCTTGCGTCGAGCGTTCGCGTTCTTCTTCTCAATGTGTCGCTTGTGGTCTCGTCCTTCATTGTCATCCGGGACATCTTCATCCAGATACTCAAACGTGCGCCAACTATCGAAGTTGTACCAGAAATCGTAGAATTGCTCCACTTCCTCGCGCGTGCTGTTCTCGTCGCCGAGCATGGGGACAGGGGTCTTCTTACTGAACCTGGCTTCGCTCTGGAACACGGCGTTCCATTTCTTGTAGAAGTTTCCTGGCTTTTGCATGTCTTTCTTGGTTGGTGGCTCGACGTCAGCGGCTTCGTCAACGGAGTCCCACTGACGACGTTTGACTGGGTCAGTCAGGATCTCGTGGGCACGTTGAATGCATTTGAAGAAGCTGTCGTTCTCGTCACTCTGGCCAGCCGCGGCCTTCTTGTCTGGATGATGTTTGAGGACCTTCTTGCGGTGCGCCTTCTTGATCTGCTCGTCGGTGGCTTTGTAGCGGTATTTGGAGAGGCCGAGGACGGCGTAGTGGTCTTGTCCCTGCACATTTTAGTCAGCAGTGAAGCCAGAGGTCAAAGCAACGAAGAAATCTTACCTTCCAGTCCTTCGCATCTCTCGCCAGCATCAAGGGATCTTCTGGTTCACTGATCTCGCCGTCATCGTCGTCCTCGGATTTCTTCACCTTTTTGAGGGCTTCGAGACGTTGATCCTCGGAGAAAGTACGCCCATGACGCTTGCGGCGAGCGTAAGCAAGGAATTGCGCCCCGAATGGCTCAATCTTGCGCATCACAGGTGGAGATAGTTTGCCCAAGCTTCGGAAGTTAGGACTGTCATCGCCGTCACCCTTCCAACTCTCCGTTGGAGGAAGCACGAGGCCGTGTGAAGTCATGTCCTCGAAGAGCGAAACACGCGCAAGCGCTTCTTGTGCCGCAAGGAGAACGATTCCAAATTCTGCGATAGACTCGAGTACCTCTTGGGGGGACGGTGTGTGCGCTATATGAAATATACACAATCAGCGTCAATTGCTTGAAGCCAGGGAATTATTTTTTTTCGAGGGACTTCGACTTACCCATTTGACTGATTGGTGGAATGAATTATTCGGCTAACTTGTCAAATTGAGTGAGTGGGTTGGTGTTGGAGAAATTAGGAAGGAGAAGCGAATGTGAAAGTAATGTGAGTGCGCCGACTGTTGGGTTCATGTGAAGTGAATATCGTCTCTACAGACTGTACCTCACCTTGCATCCACCGGTAACTTCATTCTCTAAAATAAACATGGCACTGGCGGCCTACAGACACCTCCTGCGAGCGACACGGACCGCATTTCAAGGCGACTACCATCTCCTGCATGCAGCCAGAATGCAAGCCCGCACAGGCTTTGAGACACTAAGAACAATGGATCCTGACTCAGAGGAGGCAATCAAGGGCATAGCACATGCTGAGGGCGTGGCATCAGTGCTACGACACAATATTGTGCAGGGCAAGCTGGTCGAGGGGTCAGACGTCATACGTATGTGAGCACTCATTGTCAGGTTGGCAAGCAAGACGTTAACCTACAGGCAGGGCTCAATATACACGAGGACACAGAGAAAGGTGACAACGATACCGTCAAGAATCCACTCGGCAAAGGCGGAAAGGTCAAGGTTGGCGGTGTATGAACAAAAAAAAGAGCTCGGTTTCATTCATCCCTGTGTACATATAATGATACCCTAGTCGGTGGTTTGTCCTTGCCGTTGCTTGCCAGTCGCATGCCGAACCATTACGCCATGCTCAAACTGTACCAATAAAGAAGTCCCATACACAATGCAGCTCAATCACCGGCCAAACTGGCATAGGTGACTTCCCCTTGGCCTGGTGGAGGTGCCACCGCGAAACTTGAATTTCCTTCCTCTCCATTCTCGATTTGAGGTTGGCTATCGTTGGCTGCAACTCTACTTTGACCAGGCTGCTGAGACTTGACAGCAGCTGCGGTTTCCCGACCTTCTCTTGCCCAGCTCATTTTCTGATCCCGATCTGTATTGTCAAGTGGTTTCGGCTTGCCCCATCTGACCCGCAGCGGACATCCCTGGATGGCTGCTTTTCCTTGACAATGGGCTGCCGCAGCCTCGGCTCCTTCTCTTGTGGCATAGTTGATGAATGCGCAGTGGGCGCGGTGGGAACAGACAATAGACCGTATCTGGCCAAACGGCGTGAAGAACGTACGGATCGCATGTTCCGGTAAATCGTCCTCAACACCAGTGACAAAGAGCGAGGTTATATTAGGATCGGGGGGAGGTAGCCAATCTTCGGGTTGAGGAGGCCTTGACACCGTGACTGCTCTGGCGCCACTGGGTCCTGACTTGGCACCACGATGAGCATTTGCAGATTTTCTGGAATCTGAGGTTCTTATGGGGCCAGGTCCATAGCCACCTTGCTTCTGCTCTTTTGGTGGCGGCCGTTGGTCTTCGGATTGAGACCCCTCTGCTTCCAGTCGCCTTTGCTTTTTGTAATACGGCTCACTGTTCGCCAATCTGCGTAACAGATCTCTGGCTTTCTCATCTGTCTTTTCATATGCTTCAACTGCGCCTCGTCCTTCCTCTAGTTCTTTCTCGTGTTCTTGGGCGTAGTATTCTCGGTTAATACTAGATTGTGGGCCCGGTGCGACCATTTTGAGAGCAGCATCTCTGACTGTGATAGGCAATCCGAACGACAAATCGAGCATACAGCACTGGCAGCAGTTCTTTAAACGAGCACAAGTGAGACAGATGTTGGTTCGCTTTGTTCGGGCGGTCCGATCGGCTTTCCAGCGGAAGACAGTAAAAGGACGGGTGCATATCTTGCATTCGGCTCCAAACTCCTCCTTTAGCATCTGGACATAAGGGTTATCGGGCAGACAGTTCTCGCAGCTGGAGGGAAAATCGGTTGTTTCCCAGCCAGAGCGGTTCAGATCTTGCTTGATCTGAGGTGGCGCCATGGTGGCGAGCGGTTGTTTGTTGCAGGCGGAAGAGTGTGAATATAACAAATACTTGTTGTATTGATTTCAGGAAGAATAACACGAGTTCTCGAGTAAAAGTACTTTGCTGAAGTAGCGCTTGCCTGACAAATGCAGGGTAGGTAATGCGTTGTTGAACATTAAACTGGCGGGGAAAAGTCAGCCTTGCCAATTTCTCTTCACGTGCATTCTGTCTAATAATGCGGAAGGTTACCCGAAGATCACATGAGATTGCCCTAGAGTGGCCTGCTGCGGAAGGATTCAATTCCAGATCGGTGGGGATGGGAAATGGCATGGCCGACCCCTGCCAAGAGATCCAGTTGAGAATCAGGCCATTGGAGATTGCGCCGGGGAGACCAGACCCGGCCAATATTTTTTTGTACCCCAATAGCAGCACCTGCATACATCGCTCGTTGATTCCGGATCGTGTCACTGACCGCTTGTCTTTCATTCTTCCTAAAGTACATTTGAGTCGGAGAGACGTTCTGTCCCAAGTTCCCTCCCAGTTCGCGCTTCCCATACCCTACAGCCCTCTCAACATGGCTCCCTCTGCTACCTCCCCGGTACCGGCTCTCGAGAAAGAAGACCACGACCGCGATGCTGCTTTCAACAAGGCGCTCCATGGTAAATCAGCCGATGCTGCTGGTGGCTTAATGGCAATGCGCTCCAAAGATAAAGCGGCCCAGAAAGCTGCCGTCGACGAGTACTTTAAACACTGGGACAACAAATCCGCAGCCACCGAGACTGAAGAAACTCGCAAGGCACGAAGAGATGAATATGCTACCTTGACAAGACAGTGAGTGTTGGCCCTTCAAACGCTTACAACATGTCCAACTAACCGTGTGGGCAGCTACTACAACCTTGCCACTGATCTGTACGAATACGGTTGGGGCACTTCATTCCATTTCTGTCGCTTTGCCGCAGGAGAGTCCTTCTACAAGGCCATTGCCCGGCATGAACATTATCTCGCCCTCAAAATGGGTATGCAAGAGAACTGGCGGGTCCTGGATGTGGGCTGCGGTGTGGGCGGACCTGCTCGTGAAATGATCAAGTTCACGGGAGCCAACGTCGTGGGACTGAACAATAACGACTATCAAATTGAACGGTCGCTACGATATGCAAAGAAGGAGGGCCTCGGCGATAAGTTCTCTGCGGTCAAAGGTGATTTCATGCAAATGTCCTTTCCGGAGAACAGCTTTGATGCTGTGTACGCCATCGAAGCCACGGTCCACGCCCCGAGCTTGCAGGGAGTGTATGAGCAGATTTTCCGGGTGCTGAAGCCTGGTGGTGTCTTTGGAGTGTATGAGTGGCTTATGACCGACAACTACGATAACGACAATCCCGAGCACCGCGAGATCCGACTGGGTATCGAACAGGGCGACGGGATTTCCAACATGGTCAAAGTCTCAGAGGGGTTGGCCGCCATTAAGGCCGCCGGTTTCGAGCTGGAGCATCACGAAGATCTCGCCGAGAGACCGGACGCAATCCCCTGGTACTATCCGCTCGCCGGCGAGTTCAAATACATGGGTAGCATTGGAGACATTTTCACGATAGGGCGCATGACGTGGTGGGGACGAGGGCTGATCCATAAGTTCATTGGGGTTGGCGAGACCTTGAGAGTGATGCCTCCTGGCACGCAAAAGACGGCCGACAGCCTGGCACTAGCGGCTGACTGTCTGGTTGCCGGTGGGAGGAAGAAGCTGTTTACCCCAATGTACTTGATGATTGCGCGAAAACCCAAAGCTTGAGAAGACGACCAAGGACATGATATCGAAAAGGGGCGTTTTGGGAATAGTTGGTGGTGATTAGAGGTAGACGGAGGCATGCTTCTGGTGCTTGCTGCATCGACATAGCCTAATTTCGCCATAAGCATGTACATACTTGTATCCTTACCATATTGTATCTATGCTCGACAAAGTATCATGTTTCATGGTGGCGAGATTGGCTTCAGCACTCAACTTCCAAGAATTGGGTGTCGGAAACAATTGCCACCGGCGGAAGAGCGTGCGAGAGGTTGCATGCGACGGTGGTGATCGTCATGCACCGCCACAGTGCATTCGTTGGCATTGACGTGTGGCAACTGATGAGTTTGCGAGACGACGAGTACCCCGTGTGGCTCAATAATGCATTTTTCCTTTTTCCAAAAATAGAGGACTCACTCCGTGTATCATGAGCCGAGAGTGTGTCAAGAAACGCCATCCAAGAGAAGGACTCGATAGTTACACAGAAATTTCAATATCCGAAGAGCCAATTCCATGGGTGCAGCGAGAAACCTTTCAGGTCGAATCATTGCGATGGACGGGTTCGTTTCGGCTCGCCTGATCAACACGAACAGTAGCGGCCTGGTACCTGCACGCCGCATGATTTGGACCTGTTAGGTGTCTGACTGACAATCTGAAACTGATAGTGTATGTGGTATCCGTTTCAGGACGGGAGCGAGGCGCAATTCCGTACCACCCAACACCAGCCAGGTGCGTGGTACTGAGGGGTATTTGGTACAGGTCAATAGGTTCAGACGTGGATAATATGCGTAATGCAGTGGCTTGCGAGTAACGAGAGAGCAAACCTCAGTCGATGGAATGGGAACCGCAAGCTGGGAGGTTACAGGTACCTAAAAGCGCAGGCCAAGCAACCTCAAGCCGCGCCCCAAGGCTGAGGCCCCAGCTAGCATGGCACCCTGGCAACCTGGCACACCTGGTAAGCCCTTCTGTACCTCGTAGACCCCAAAACGATCACCCTAGCGGCTCCTAGGCGGTTAATACCAAGAATCCGAAGCTTTCCAGGGCTGGCCGCCTAAAGGAGGGAGGACCTGCCCCGGGGCTTCACTAACCAATGCGATTCGTTGGGCTGTAGCCGGTACATGGATCTGCCATTGACAAGCTGCTAGTGCTGCCCAATGCCCATAATTTCACTTTGATGCCATCCGTAACCATCCCGTCATCAAACCTCGCCAGCTGATGCCAGATGCTTCAAGCGCCTTTCCCGGACTGGCCGCTGTTGCCGTCATGGCTGCTGGTTGCGTCGCCCTTCCCCGTACTTACAGCCTACAGCACCTTCTCCTGGTGATGAGCAGGAAAGAAGCAGAGGGCGCAGTCACCACCCTCTGCCAACTCGACTATTTCAACTTTTTTGTATAAACCTTGGTTGACTCTTGATTCTTTCTTCCTCGCGTCACAGTCCTTTCAGTTACTGTTTTTACATGTAGCATCATCATCACTTTCGTCAGCATCACCATTCCCATCGTCGTTCCTTTCCTTTTGGCTTTCTTTGGCTTCATATCTCTAATACCCCGGTTGTTGCTACATCCTCAGGACTTTTGTCTGTCACTGTCCTCATCATGGGCAAGTTTGCAGCGGCTGCCCTCGGAGCAGCAACTCTGCTCGCCTCCATCCTCCCCGTAACTGCTACTTCTGGCACTGTGGGCTTCACCTTTGAGAAGCGTCGGGTACTTGCGCAGGACGCTCCTCATTTGACACGACGTCAATCCAAGACCATCAAGGCAGGATTGGACAACGAGATTCTTCTCTACTTCATCAACTGCACTGTTGGCACACCGGGCCAACCATTCTCCCTGCAAATTGACACTGGCTCCTCAGACATCTGGTTTCCTGAAGCTGGTGCCGAAATCTGTCAACAAAACGATGGTTGCTCCGAGTTTGGAGCATACGACGCCGATGCTTCCTCCACCTTCGCCCAACTTGATCTCCCAGAGTTCCAGATCCAGTATGTTGACGGCTCTCAGGTAGTTGGACAATACATATCTGATGTGTTGAACGTGGGCGGAGTAAAATTGACAAACATGACTATGGCTGCTGCCCAACAAGCAAACACCCGAGCAATTGGCATCATGGGCATTGGGTTTGAATTGGGCGAGGCCTCTGCCTCACTTGACGGCTTCACCTATCCCAATGTCATCAACGTCATGAAGAATGAGGGCTTCATCAACACCCTCGCATATTCACTGTGGCTGGACGATCTGGACTCCAATACCGGCTCCATTCTCTTTGGTGGCGTTGACACAAACAAGTACCACGGCGACTTGGTTGCTCTTCCCATTCAAGTCGACTCGCAGACAGGTGTTATTGACTCCTTTACCGTGGCTTGGACCGGGCTTACCGTCACTGGAGGCGGTCAGTCCTCTGACGTCTCCCCCAGCTCACCCCAACCCGCCATTCTTGACTCTGGTACCACAGACACCTTGCTCCCCGACGACATTGCCAACAGCATCTTCAACGGTGTCGGTGTGGTGTCAGACCCACAGTTTGGCAATGTGGTCCGCTGCTCTCTCGCCAACGATGATCTTACCTTTTCGTTCCAATTCGGTGGCAAAGATGGTCCTGTTGTCAATGTCTCCCTGTCCGAATTTGTTACACCCTTGATTACAACAGACGGCTCTCAACCAACCTTCCAGAACGGCGACATGGCATGTTCATTCGCCATTGATGCTGCAGGGAACGATCCCATCCTGTTTGGCGACTCTTTCCTTCGCAGTGCCTATGTTGTTTACGATCTTGAAAACAACGAAATCGGTCTGGCTCAGACAAACTTTGACGCTACTGACGCCAACTCCAACATCCAAGCATTCCAGCCTTCGGGCAGTATCCCCAATGTTGTTTCGACCGCATCGGCCGCAAGTGTGGCCCAAACATTTTCAGGCAACCCAGAAATCACACAAGCCTCGGTCACTGCTACTGGGGCACTGGGTGGCGGCACCTCTAGAAGCGCGACGTTCAACTTGACGCCTGCCACCGCCACGAGCACGAGCACCTCTGACTCCGGCAGTGGAGATAGCTCAGGCAATTCCAATGCCGCGAATGCCAACTTCCGCACTATTCCTGTTGAGAGGACTGGTTTGTTGGCGGCGGGTGTTGTGGTGGTGGGACTTTTCTTTGGTGGTGGCTTGATGTTGTTCTAAACCAGCGACTGGCGTCTTTTTTGCGTTGTTATGAAAATGAATGTTGATACGCACTCGGTAGAAACGGGATTGGCTTTGTTGGACGGCGGTGTCTTTGGGCATCAGTGGGACTCGGTCTCGGTCTCGAGGTTATCGGGCTACAGGACCGGAAGGGAGTGCTCATGACGATTATTCTTAGAATGATACACCAAAACACAAAATAAATATGCATAACCCCAACCTACTTTCTCTGCGTCATTGTCTTTGTGAGTCACGTAATGTCTAGGCTTTATGTGTGCAAATCAAGCGTGCCATCGAAAGAATGTATCTCATGGATCAGCCTGCACGTGATATCTGCCTGTCCTCGACGAAGCACCTCGACCCTTTTGAAACGACGGGATTGGGACTATCAAGGTGTTTCATCATCATCGTATATATTGTAAACAGGTTCGTAAAGATACGCTAAACATTTAAATCAGGTCGTCTTCTTCTTCTTCGTCAGCCCCTCTATCTTATGCGATGCTGTCGGGTTCAGGCCTTTCCTCTTGGGACTAACAGCCGATGAGCTTATCAGACCATCAGGCCTTTGATCCACGGTGGCACCACACTCGTTCAGCGACGCGTGAAGGTGAAGAAGAAGAGGAGGAGGGAGAAAAAGGAGGAGGAAGTAGAAGTAAAAGAAGAGACAGGAATGGAAATAGAAAAAGTCTATTTTCGTGATCGATTGACGGATCGCAAGAACTTCCTGCTCCCTCTTCCCCAACTTCCACCATCATTTCGCATCGTGCATCGTGCATCGTGCATCTTGGAGAAGTAGCAATTGGTTCTGCCGCTTCATCATGTGGTATGTATGGTACGCACAGTGGCAATGGAGTTGGACTTTGTTTGCGCGAGTCAAGTCTTTGTGAGATCGTGGACGTCGTATATTTCATCCGTTCGTGGTGTCGCGGTGATGGGCTGCGGGTTGTGGGTTCAGACATTAAACGTGATAGTTTGTGTTTTTTGTATGAAGATTATCGGTGTCGTTGCAGGTATCGGGCAGGTTGTTCAGAAACAGGACATCTGAACCTTGGTACCCTCCCTCACACTCTGGTCCAGGTCGACGGTTACTCTCGGACTGTCTCGAGCGGGCTGTGCGGAAAACTCGCCCCGTCTCCGTTGAGGCTGCCCAGGCTGGTCGTGTTCGTCAACCACGGCATGCTCCGCCTGTCAGCATCGCCCTGGTCATCGTCGCCGTCAATCTCCATTCCCACTTCGTTATCGTCGGGAACCTTGATGTCGAGCAGTCTCTCGGCGTTTTTGTACGCGATTGCTTCGAAATCCTGGTTATTTATCCTGGGTAGTGTAAGAAAAAGGTATATTGTTAGCTCGGTCCCCTTTCTGCAAGAATATACACTTGTCTCTTCTTTACACCACAAAAAGTAACAAAGAAAAGGGGGGTGATACTAACATTGCACTTTCTCTCAAAGCGTACATAAACTTCACGCCATCTTCGTGGCTGCAGAATGGATAGTCTACACTGTAAAGTACCTTGTCGGCGCAGCACATGTGGATGAGGCAAGCCATGGGGGCAAGGCTGAACATGCCGGCCGTCGTGACATAGATGTTCTCGTGCCAGACTTGCAGAAGATGACGCCTCGGTTTCGACGCGTGTGGCCAGGTCCGCTGGACGAGCTTGTGAATTCTGTCGATCAAAAAGGGTAGCGTCTCGCCCATGTGGCCCAGCAGGAGTTTCAAGTGCCGATGCGTGTCAAAGAGCTTGCTTGCGAAGAGCCGCAAAACATGCAGTGCCACGTCGCTGTGCCAATGGAATCCGTGGTTGGCAAGGAAGTTTGAAATCTGGGGTGAATAGTT